CATCCTCATGTACTCGGCACCGGCGAGGCCGCACCTCGAGTCCCGTGTCCAGTTCTGGGCCCCTCACAGCAGGAAGGACACTGAGGTGCCGGAGTGGATCCAGAGAAGGGCAAGGGAGCTGGTGAAGGGTCTGGAGCACTAGTCTTCTGAGGAGCGGCTTAGGGAGCTGGGGGTGTTCAGCCTGGAGAGGAGGAGGCTCAGGGGTGACCTTATTGCTCTCTACAACTCCCTGAAAGGAGGTCGTAGGTGAGCATCGGCATCTTCTCCCAGATAACACGCAACAGCATCAGAGGACGTGACCTCACCCTGTGCCAGGGGAGGTATAGGTTGGGCATTAGGGGGAATTTCTTAACAGAACCGGTGATTAGACATTGGAATGAGCTGCCCAGGGACGTGATGGAGTTACTGTCCCTGAAGGTGTTTAAGGAAAGACTGGACGTGGCACTTTGTGCTGTAGTTTATTTGACATGGTGGTGTTCGGTCACAGGTGGGACTCGATCTCGGAGGTCTTTTCCAACCTGATTGACTCTGTAATTTTGATGCTTCTGTATATGCTATCCCCATAACACCACAAAAATCAGCAAGATAAAAATTCAGGTAAAAGTGCAGTTCCTCTGCCCCCACATCATTTCAGCACTTATACTCCGTGAGTATAAGTAAATGGGGGGGTGAGGGGGTTGAAGTTATTTGACTTCCCTGCCCCTGTTCTCACACACGATCTTGCCTTTCATAACGAGGACAGTAAGAGGAATCAAAGATCCTTAAAGCCTGGTCTGGAGTGTCATGATTTAGGCGCTTTAGTCTTCTTGCAGTAGCAAGCAGGTTACTGCTGTGGTTAATGGTGTGCCTGCCTTTAGCCACCGTGTTGGGTATCTGCTTGCCCAGGGCCATCAGGATGAATCAGCTCACTTTCTGTTGCGGTTACTTACATGCTCTCCTCACTGCTGTGACAGAGAACATGTTCACACCTTTATTCTCTCAATAAGGGCACCACAACAGTCTGTTCAGTTTGGAAGGATCAGAGGAAATGCCTTTCCCAGACGATGCCTAGGTGGAAATAGCCTGCTCAGTCACCACGCTAATTACACAGTTACAGAAACATTATAAACTGATATGTTTATAGTATATCCTACATACTATAAATTTTCCCTCTGCTAAAATCATAGCACCTTTTATAGATAGCACTCCCCTTTCTGCCCCAACAGTGTCTGGGGGAAAAAATCCAAAAAACCACGTATGCAAGACACCTCCAGATTCTCAGCACCCATTCAAACTGGCTCACCAGAGTTGTAAGTACTCTAAAGAACAGTGCACAGGTGAGGAATTACACTGAAGGGTTTTTTTTGGGGGGGTTGCCTTTTAATTCAATTCTTCAGCAATGGGTTTATTATTTCCAGACAACTCATTTTGAAAGACAGTATCTAAAATAAATTATCACAGGTCTTCTTCTCTTATTTTCCCAAATACACAGTCTCCTTCATTTGGCCTAACCAAAAATCTTTTCCTTGATATAAAACCCGAATGAACTACCTACAGTGAAACAAATAAACAGTTAGAAGAGCATATGCATGTCAATAATTATGGGTAGATACAAACATAAGCTAGAAAATCTCACTGTTCAGGTGACCTCTGAGATATTTCAGGTTGATCTCTTTGAGATATTTCAGAGACAACTAATCTTTTCCTTCTACTGGGACAGGACACAAGAGCAGTTGTTGCTACTCTAAGGCTTATTGCAATGTACTAGATAGGGTGCAGATGGAGCAGCAGTTCCAAATATGCCAACATCCATGTTATTTGGCATTGTGGTGGCCACAAGGACATATGTATAGGAACCTTAGTTGCCTACTAGGCCTTCTGAATTAGATTGCGTACTGTTAGTCACACATTCTTAACTTTAAGCATAACAACTGCATCAGTGTTTCCTTTCAATTCTACTTTTCCTAAAAGTTACCATGTACTGTCTGAATCTTCCTAATACCATATCACCCAGCAGACAAACTACACCGTTCCATTGCATGTATCTGCAGTTTTCTGTTTTATAGGGAAAATCAGTAGCACAGGTTTTTCTTCATGTTTGCAAAGTAAATGTCCTGAAAAACCCTACTGAAAGTGTCTATGGTGAAGCTATGGCAACAGTGCTGCAATAATCAACATCAAGAAAACTGAAACCAAGTTTTGCATGCATTATCTCTGTATGAGTTATTTCATGCCTTTTTCAAGATTTCTAAAAGACACAACAGGAGAATTGCCTAGATGTGGGCACATTCTGCATCACAGCCTCACTATCTGCGAACTCCACCTTCTGCTTCTTCATTTTCCCACTAAATCTTACTGCTGCACTAGGTTGTCTATTCAGACAAGAATTTTCAGATTGTTATGCTGATCCAGTAGTATCAGTGTACTCCTGTAGGATCACAAAGAAAATAAAAGTTAAGCTTTTCTTCTCATGAGTCAGCAGAAAATATTTGGTATAAGTTTTCAGAGTCTTTGGACAGCATCAGTTAAACTTTCTGCCAACTCAGAGCAAAGGCTTATAAGACTCTTGTAGATGCTAATGGCAAAATTATAACAACTCAACTCAAAAACACTTTTTAAAATGAGAATGTACAAAAGAAACTTAATACATTTTTCAAGCATCTTGCAAAGAAAAATAGAGGAATAGCAAAGCAAAACCTTATGAACCCTAATACTGCAATCACAGCATTTAGAATTTAGTTAAGCCTGGTTTAAGATTTTATATTAATTCTCTAATAACACAGCTTGGTGCACAAAGACCTAAACCACTTCAAATTTGCTGTATAAAATGAGGGATAGCATTCCATACTATCACTGTTTAACACAACAGCACACCTTGACTTACTTTAACACCTCCTTCTTAATTCTCAACTGTAATTTTCTTAGTTCACTGAGTTTTGTACCAGCAGCCAGACATGGCTGATAAGATCAGTGGCTGTATGTTGCCCTGCCAAGGCTGTTTTTCTCACAAAAAAATATTTCAAGTATGTTCAGGTCAGAGCAATTGCCTCAAGACCAGCGTATTGTGCAACTTAGTCCTTGCTAAAGTTTCACCTTAGCGAAAAACGCATCCTTCAGTCTCCATCCCAGATGCAAGTCTAGTCAGAAAATGTTGTCTCCCTTAAGACATTTGCAAGTCATTTGTGGATGCTGAAGGCCACACAGAACCTCCAGCAGCAACAAGTGCAGAGCACTTCAAAGAAAGGGGCAGGAGAACCCAGCCCAAGTGTTAATTCCTTTGCTTATTGAAGAGAAGTTAGTGACTGGTTTTATGGTTTCTGAGTGTACAGCAACATCACTTTTTTTCTGAATTCAGATTAAATTTGGGGGTTCCCTTTTAGAAATATTTCTCCTTTGGCCAATCACACACTGTAATAGAAGTATTTATTTTAATTCACTTTACATTATTGCCTTTCATTCAGCAAATGGCTTGAAAAAGCAGCAGCTTCTAGTCACTTAGCTATTCAAGAACTATTAGCAAGGAATACAGATACCAGCAAATGAACTTGGAATTGCATCTTTTATGTGATAGGAATGTCTATGTATGGATATGTAACATGTTAAATTTTGCAAATGGCTGCAATTCCCAACTAGAGGGGAAAATAAACGCATAAAAAGTTCTAGTGTATAATATAAGTACAAGTCTGTAAAACACACCAGCAGCTGCATGTGGATATACACACCTGATCTCTGTATATATTCTGTCTTTCTGCAAATTTCAAATATGTCATTCAGAAACACTTGGAATAAGAAATAAAATTAAACAAGTTGTTGTTAAACCCATCAAGCTAAAATAAAAGTTTTATTTAGACATGTTTCTTGCTCTCTTTTTCCTTCCAAAATTCAAATTTAGCTCCTTTTTCCACTCGAGGAGGTTCTCATTAAGTTTTTTAGCAGTTTCCCTAACCAGAAAAACAGATGTTTGCCTAAACAAGAGTAGCAAGCAAGAACACACCGTATTTACATTTTGGAGACAATTTCTCACTCTCTAACCTGCTTTTGTTGGATGCTGAATTTCCTATTTCTATTTTTCGTTGATTCGGGCATCTTGATCTGCTGAACAGATTGACAAATGTAAACTTAGAATAAGCTGAAGTGCTACCCCAAGTACTGCCACAAAATATGCTGAGCAAATCAGCATTCAGTCACACCCAGAAGCAACAGTGCAGGAAATGAACTGGGCCTAGAAGATCACACATTTTCCTTTCCTTTTTTTCTCTTCAGAAGTTTTCAGTTGGCAGATAAAATCTCTAGATATCACAAGATTAAATAAAGACATTACTAATACTGGGAATTATTTTAAAAAATAACAAGTAGCTAAACATATATTTCCATCCTGAAAGACCCACAAAAAAGGCAGAAGTATCTTAGCTACAAATCAGATTTTCACTTTATTAACACTTCTATTTCAAACAGTTTCCCTGTGTGAACGTCACAGATTTCAGTGTGGTCTAACATTGCAACAGATGGAGCAAGTAGGTGAAGTGGGGGAAAAGTGAAAGACAGAAATGGAAACAACAAGGTAGTGCAGAACACACAAAAAATTGTGCCATCAACATCCTTCATCATCTTCAATAAAAATTAAAGTCAAGGCGAGAGAATGTAAGACATATTATTGAAACTGTGATGAGAAACTGTCTTTAACAATCAGAACATTATTTCAGTAAAACTGAGAAAATATCTGCTTTTTAGTCAATTAATTCTGTACTGAAATTTTGGAACATGCAAGATACTTTTCCTCAGTGGATCTTCCCTAACACAGTTATAAGAGTGATAGAGTATCAGGCTTATTTCTTTTTAAATACAGATTCCTATACCAACATACACACATGCTTACCATTTCTTGGCCTTTGGCTGCCTTCATCATCTGTTCTGATACCATTTTCTTCAAGCAGCTACTGAATGCAAAGGGCTGAAGAGGATAAACCAGAGAACATTCTGATTTCTTCTATTAAAAGATATAGTTGACTTTTCCATTCCTTCTCCAGCAGAAAATTACAGTTCCTAGCTACTGAACTATCACTTCTCTGACACAGTTAATTTTACTCTGTGCTTGACAATGCACCAAACGAGTTGCAGTTTCTTATGGCCCAGCCTCAGCATGACTGGGCCTTGCTGAGATTACATTTTACTCTGATGCTTTCCTAAGAGGATTGAGAACTAACCTGTTTTGTGTACAAAATTATCCACTGCCATGTGCCTGAGTCATTGTACTCAAATCTAGGCTTCAGTGTGTCTTCTTCACCATCCTTTGTAGCACCCTGGAAAAGCAAACAAACAGGAAAACCAAACAAAAAAACCCCAGTCAATGAACAGAAAAAGCAGCTAAAAACAGCATTGAGGTGTTCAGCCTTAAATCATAATTAGTCGATTAGGTTCATTTTATACTGTATATATATGAAACAGCTGAAAGTCTGTAGCAGAGCACTTCCTCTATGGGAGGAAACAAGTGGGAGGTAGGCAGGGGGAGTCTTTGCAAGCATAAAGTTGGCTAAAGCAGTTCTTTTGCTCCCTCACAAAACTCTGTCAACTCTACTTCCAACAAGAAAGGAAAGGGGCAGGTAAAGTATGACGTGGAATCCTAGGGAAGGGAGAAAACAGAAGAGTAAGGCTGGATGTTTTGCTGCTGTAGAGGCTGCCAAGGGAATATGTTTCAGAATAGGCTGGGAGGGGGATATAGACAAGTGGAAGGGATTTAAAGCAGATCACCCTTTTCTCCCCAGACCTTCCCTTTCAACCTTAGTTTTGATGAAGGGAATTCAGATAAAAAGTCAGTAAAGTACTTACACAAAAAGTAACCTACCAACTTCTTGATTTTAAAGCTGACCTCTGATTTGGTTAGTGGGCAGTGTTATGCAGCAGTTAATCTTATCATTGCCGACATGGATGTCACCTGAGCAGCCTTCTTCTGGATAGTCACAAATACAAGGATCAAGCTGTATGTATCCATAGAACTGCATTTCTCAAATCTGCTCCAGGAATTGCACCAAAAATACAGAACTAATGTAATTTGCTGTAAAGGCAAGTAAGTCTAGAAATTTGGAAAAAAAGAAAAATACTTCCAACAAACAAAGAAAATAAAAAGGGCTGTAAGTCAAATCTTTGAAATTCCTAATACTCTTTCTTCTGGAAAGACAGATTCACCACAATATGTCAGTGCTTGATTCAGAGAATAGTATTCATAGGCAAGAATTAGAAATTGGATTTTATTTTTTTTTTGACAGGATAGGATGAGCTGGGTCTTTTGGATGCTTATCAGATATGATGATAGGAAGAGATAAAATTAACAAGTAAGTAATACTGTGAACAGCAGTCCCAGCAGTCTGAATTCTCATCTGATTGCCTAAACTGGATGACAAACTTTACTAAGTTTTGCAAATAGAGAAAAATAGCGCTCAGTCCAAAACTTCTTGCCAGCCCTTGTGATCAAATTCATCCTCTTGGTATTTTTTAAAAAACACTAATAGAGGTGGGAACCTTCTTTTCTATTTGGTGGTTCGGTTTCTGGCCAGGAGATGGGACACCTGGGTTTCTAACTCAAACCACTCCACAAAAGTTTTTGAAGTCAGAGCCCTTAATATAATTTCTTAAAAAAACCCAAAAACCCAAAACACTCCTTTGATCTGTTTGAACTGTTTTTAAAAACACCTTTGCTTTGTTTGCATTTTTTTGTGGAAATTCAAGTTCCTACATCTGCTCTTCTGTGGGTTTAACCCAATTCCTCTCAACTTCCTGGATTGCCTTAAAAGAATTTTTAAAAATAGCAAAGAAAGTCAGCAAAAATTTATTTTCTTTCACAGAAGCATTCAAAAACACATGCACATAGAAATGGAAAGCTTGTGGTTTGTTTTGGTTTTTTAAACAAAGCTTTGATTTTAGGGCAAGTTCATTCTGCACAGTTCTTTCCTCAGGAATTAATAGTTTCCAAAGCCAGTATAACTCAACACAACTACAATTCAGAAACCAACTGCTCTCATATCATGGCAGAGTGCCTACATGTTAAGAACATACATATACATATATCCCCTTGTAAATAAAGTAGATAGATACCTAAGTATGTCCTTTTAGTGCAATATTTTTTCCATGCACAAAACATAGATGAGTCTCTGGCACAAGAGTTTGAAGGAGGAAAAAAACTACCAACAAACCCACAACCAACAACTGCTATATCCAGCACTTGGAGAAGTGTCACAAAGCAGTGCCAACAGCAGGAACCATTTACAGATATGTCAAGAATTTGTATAAAAGATTAATTCAGTGTGGGAAAGGTAACCTTTAAAATGATAAAGTCCTTTCAGTTTTACCTGCATATATAGTAAGTTCAGTGAAGCTCTACAGTCCATAAGCAGTATATCAAGAGAAGGATCTACATACTTTTTTCAAGCAAGGGAAAAAAGTAATAAAACATGAAGAAATGCTTCTGAACATGGTGGTTTGATTTTTTTCAGCTAAATAAAATGGGAACATAATCCAGAAAGGTCCCATTACTTAGCAGATTAAAAAACTCCACAACAAATCAAAAAACAATTATGCTCTTGAAGTATGTACTGTATTCATTCTTTATACATTGTAGCAGAAAGGAAATAAAGTGGAGTCAGGTTACTCAGTCTCTACGCTTTGATTTTGGTGGTACCAAACATGAAAGTTACAACTCAGAACTAAAACTTTCCTCTTCCTTTTCTCAAACAGCTCTGTGATTCTGGACAGAGTAGTTGGTAGGCTCTCAGAGCATCCACTGCCATGTGCTGCAGTGGATCTTGCCGTGCAAGATCTAGCCTCAAGCTTGCTAGCTGCAGTACCAGCTGCTGTGGAATTGCTGCAGGTTGAGATCAGTGCAGCAACATAGCAAGTTAAATATTCAGTTATCCAGTTACCATACTGCAGCTTGAGCCATTTGATTTGAAGCAGCTTAGGCAAGTCTCCAGGACAGTGTGACCAAAGAAGTGAAGGCTCCAAGGCCAGTATCACTCCATGGATTTATCACCCTGCACAGGGGTCACATGTCCTGTAGCACACCTCTGGGCTTGAAGCACTGCTAGATGGAGAATTACCTACTCAGACATAGCCACTTTGCCACAGCTTAGAACCATGCAGTTCTTTCATTGGACTGCTGGATTCTGCAGTTTATAAGGGCACATACAGGAAAACAGAGAAAGCTTTGTAGAGGCCAAGCTCTGACGCAGTAGATTTAAACCAGACAAGTTACCAACATCAGACAACAGGTTTCTGTTTACCTCCAAGCCAAGTAATCTTGCTTGCTGCCACCAAAAAGACATGGTATTTTCTTCCTCTTCTGCTCCATTCATTCATCTGATGCAACCAATACAACTCACTGAGCAAGCAAAAGTCCATAGTTTTTTTACTTTTTTCACTGTAGGGAGAAGTAGAACAGAGCACAACTGCAGCAGTGAGCCATTAGGCTGGCCCTGCTGTTCTGCCTAACTGTACCCTCAGGGCACTCTGACAAATGGGACTTTGGCACGAGAATACCAATCCCCAGGATTTATCCTCACCCACAACTCAGCACCATCATTTGCTGCACAGCAAACAGGACTGGGGTGCTGACTAGGGCCAAAAATAGGCCATCAAAATCAAATAAAAAATAAACAGCCAGCAACTTACTTTTAGGCCAGGTTAGCTTGCCAGTCCAGTTCACCACTCTCTGCCCACACAGTTCCACCAACATAACTGAGGAGTAGCCCAAGGCATGAATGAAAGGGCAAGAGTGCTCTACTGTTTAAGCCAGGCCACTTACCAAAATAAATGCTCAAGCTATGGCCTCAGGTATTATGTGTATTAGTGTATAGAAATGAGCACTTCAGATAAAAAGTAATCCATCTCTGCCCAGAGGGTCAGCTTGCAACTCAGAACTCAAAGTTCTCTTCTATGTTGTTTACAGGTGTATTCCTATTTGTGGTCACTGAATTATGCAGGTATAAAAACTGGGAGGCAAGCAGCTCAAAACACCTTTCTATAGATTCTGAAAGAGAGAGGGAGGAAATAGCTAGCTACAGTAAAGAACCCTTCAGGAATACTACAGTGATAAAATCTAAAACATGCAGGGCCACAGAAAACAGTCAATTCCAATTAACAATTGGCCTCAGAAAAAGAACAGTCAAGCTGCTGAAGCCTGAAGATTTTGTAACTAAGTTATTCAAGGGATTTATTTCTCTGCTTACAGTAGTTGTCATGCATTTTAGTAGTTTCTCTTAAGCTTCTTGCTCACTGCTTTCTGATCTCAAGCTTGCAGTGCAAGTCCTTCATGCTCTGAAGACTCACATAAGGAAGATCGAAGTATTCCACTTTTTTCACCACTGTGAAAAGAAGAAAAAACACAGAGATATTTGGTGAAATCTATTGAAATAGCCCAGCTCCTTTCATGTATTAGTTAGTACTGGTTAGCAACATGCTTTTAGAGAAGAAAAACAAGAAATGGTAAAGAAAGCACCTGGGGTAAAGTAAGGTACAAGCTAGTTATCTTCCTCACTTCTCCAAGTCTAACCTACATAGCTCTATTGCTTACAGAACATCTCTACTCCTTAGACTATGCTCTTATAGAGCATCTTTCACTCAATACACTGCTAAGCAGGATAGATTTTAAAGGACGTGTGGATGCAAGCTTTCAGGACTGGTGCTTTTGCTTTTCTTGAACAGAACACAAGACAAGAGCAGTATAACAAATGTACAGCTAGAAAAGCACGACACCCTTTGAAGATCTCTGCTTTCCTGCTCACAGTTTTTCAAAAAATCTAAGTGTAAAGGCCTAAGCTTATAAACATTTATTTTTAAGCCAATATGATGATTCAGAACACTTAAACATGCCTTTTTAAGCATGTGAGCATCTAACCAGTTTTTTGGCAGCAGACTGTGGGTAATAGGTGGACTCAATGTATTTCCAAGGAATATTGAAGTTCCATGGAAATGTAATCAATTGAAAACTTTTCTGTTCTCCTGCGTATCTGGTTATATCGCATACAAGGCAAAAATAAATCCATCTGCAGCTGCAGTATAAGATACATTTGGGACACAGCAACTGCCAGGGATTCTGTGTGCTCAGAGATATCTTTCACAGCCAGAATGAAGGGGGCAGAGGAATGATGAATAAAATAGACACAGACTGTAAAGTTCCTACCTCACTAAGTAAGCCTGAATTTATGTCTGGACCTTCATCTTAAAACGCTCAGAAGAGCATTAATATTTCCATGCCAGTGAAAAGACTGAAATATGCTAAATGACTGCAATGCCTAACTTTACTCCAGTCAACAGCAAAGACTGTTCACTGCCCTGATGTGGCCTGAGCCTGTCCCAGTCACAGGCCTGGATCCAGCCTAACCCACGTGCCCCCCCCACGGGAAACAGGACATCAGCAGACCAATGAGGATGCAAAAGCCTCTTCACGTTTTATAACCATAAAGAGACTCACAACCCTGACTTACAGCTTGTTTAGTAACATCACGGTTAAACTGAAGTTTCTGTCAGTTAACAAAAGAAACATGTCATGATATGAAGGAAAGTAAGCTACAAACATTGTTTATAAATATAACAAAAGGGTTTCCTGTCCCATTGTTAAACTCAGCATGTGATCTGTAAATTAGGAACTATGTAGGTATGGCTGTCTGATTAAATGCCTACCCAAAATATACACCCAATAGTTCCCATGTGGAAAAGTTGCTACTTGAGTTGTAAACTCAAAGGGATGATATTCATATGAGAAAATCTCACGCCTGTACCACACTATCTATTACCATATGTAGTTCCCCACTACCACTCTTTCCAAGGCATATCAGGAGAGGGTTTGAGGAAATTTATCAGATCAAATGAGTCTTTTAGCCTGAGCAGGATCTGTTCAGATTCCAGCTTCAGTCACTGCAGCCAATAAGAAACAAACAAACAAACAAACAAACAAACAAACAAACAAACAAACAAGCAAACCAAAATAATCCAAGGGAGGGCTGTTAAGCACCTTGTAAAACTTAACAGGGAGAACACTGTCATCATGATCCTGAAAAAAAAATAAGCTAAAATACTTTATTAATTCACTTGACATCTTGCACAGTGTTACCTTTGAAAACAGAGAAGGTCAGAATCTTAGCTATCCATTAGAATGAATAAGGAAGAAATGTTCAATACCTATTAACATAAGTTAATTGTTTTTAAATTTTCCCTTATGACCCATTTAACTGCTTATTTAAATGCAAATATAACCACTCCCATATTCCATCATTTGAATTTGTGACAAGTTTCATAAGTTTCAAAGGAACATAAAAATGTAATAGAATAGAATATGTATGCTACTGCCATGCCACGTATCCTCTAATGCAGGGCATCTGTCATGTCATTCCAGGTCATTACTACTAAATCCTCAAATCCTATTGTACAGTGAACACTGTGTGCTCTCAGCTAACAGCATTGCTCATGAGCATCACAAATATGTATTTTTACAGGATTTGTGTCTTTTCCAAGCTGTTAGAGTCCTCTTGTTTTTCTAGGAAATATCTACAAGTCCTGCCCCTTTACTGAAAGCACCAGTCTTATAACTTTCTGTGTGAAGACTTCTAACAAGAGCAGACTTGAGCTCTGTTGAGCTTTCATTATTGATACTGCAGAAGGAGAAAAAAATCCTATCTGACTTGACATATAGGTTGTTTTAGTTTGCTGTGGCTCCTCTACAACTTCTCTGAAAGAGGGCAGAAGTAGCATCAACCAAAAATGCAGAAATCATTTGCAGGACCAGCTGCACAATGGGATAGTGGGAATAGAAAAATCAGGCAGAAGAGAGTGCAGAAACTGCTGAATCAGATTGGGGAAATTGTCTTATTCTGATTCATGTTCGGAAAAATCAAAGCATAAGTTAAGGCTCCATAGCCTGAAAGAGCACAGTACCATCAGAGCATTCCTAAATCTTGCAGTGGCTGTAATCTCCTGAGTTTGCTCAGAAAAGTGGTGTGGCAATTATAAGAAAACTCCCTAGCCCTGAGAATACTCCTGCCATAGCTCATCTGACAGATTGTGCAACCTGCTAGAGGATTCATGCTTTGGTCAGAGAGGCTGGATTTTCTTTGTCTAAGGTGGAAGTACTGGTTTTCAGTCTTCTTCCAGAGGGTGCCAATCCCAAAACTTCAAACTCTGTGTCACAGCAACACCATTGTAAATTCACTCATCTCCACAGTTCAGAAGGGTTTTCTTCAGCCATATCAGGTGTTTTAAAATGCAGACATGTTTTTGTGCATGGGAAAAAGTAGACATCAAGCTAAATATAGGTTGGAAAGGACTGTTCCAAGTTAAAATTGAAAAACCACATTCATGAGGTTTTCCTTATCCTTGTTAATATCAGGCCTGTTACCGGAGAGGGCAGCAAAGCATAAAAATCCCTTGCCTCACAGTCCACTCAGAAACTAGATATAATGGGAAGAAAGTTTCATAAGTCCAAACACAAAAGACAAAAATCTGAATATTAGCAGCAACACTTTTTATTCTTTCTGCCACTGTGCAGTCCCCACAAATTACTTGAAGAAATTAGCCACAGACCTTTGATGTGTTATCCCTCGGTAGCGTAATACTAAGCATGTGAGATGGCATTTCCAAGGAATGGCGGTCACACATCTCAGATTTAGTATGATTTTGATTTGTTTTCTTTTTTGGATCAAAGCAAAAGTTGGTATATGCTACCTGAGCAGCAGGATACTAGGGAATGATGGTTGCAAAACTAACTCCACCACAAAAGAGCAGTGAATATAGTAGCAATTTACAGGAGCTAAATAATTCCCAAAATTCCTATATCATATTTAAGGCCATAAGAGAAGAAATGGTGTCTGCAGCTATTGTTTCTTTACAATGTCACACAAACATTAAACACATATAAAAGTAACTTAAAACACCACTGTCTGGCTTGGAAATTACCTTGACCCACTGCAAACTAACAAGTTTATCAAGCTCAAACCATTGGTATTTTTTAAGTATACTAGAAAATCCTTTCCTTACTCAGTGTACCTACGCAAGTCTCCTATCTAAAAATGTCTCCTTACTTCTTCCATCCTATTAGCACCTACTTCTCTCTCCCCAAATCAGAATTCCTATCTCCCTGCCATCCCTAATACTTTTTGCCTTCAGCATCTCCCACCTTACAAGTCTCCTGTTAAGGGGTCTAAGGTCAATTCTGACACTTTGCTCCTCCTGGAAGAACCAGCCCCAACATTGTCTCAGGTGGTGCAAACCCCATGGCAGAACAAAGCCAGCAAGGGGTCACCTTGTTTTACCCAGCTTATGGGCACTGTACAGAGTGTATCTTCTGTGGCCAGACTAACGCACATTTGCTTGACAGAGGACAGCAAATACATGTTCAGCTCACTTGTATGTATGGCCAGTTGAGAACTACCTTCACAAACTCAGATTTGTTCAAAGGCACAACAGAAACACAGTACAAAATTTTATGTACGATGTGAGGAAGTTTCAGAATCCCATGACAAAGAGCAGCATTCACCTGGCAGGCGTACGCTCTGCTATTGCTGTTAAGATTAGGAAATATGTGCTCATGCACACATACACATGTAAATACACAAAATATGCAGAGCCACTGCTGCTCCTCCTCTCCTGGCACAAGAAGAGAACTCCAGCTGAAAGTTTCAAACATGAGCCAGACAGTTGTTTAAACAATATTCGGTTGCTACTGGTTTCCAAGTGTAACTAGTGATTGTTTACTGTGTGTGTTGCAACAGCTGTTATGGACATCCCAGAGCCAGCACTAGAACTGCACCAACACTGCAAAGGAAGTCCCACAGTTTCACAGCAAGCACCAAGGGACACAACACAAGTAAAGGAGAAGCAGAAAAACAAGACGCATCAGTTGTGCATTCAGTTTTAACAGCAGCGTGCCAGCTGAGACATGAGTGAACACCAGACCATCGTTTCTGACTTCAGTGTTTGAGTACTTTCATCCTCACTGTGCCAAACCAAAGTGGGCTTATTTAAGAATGGGTCCTCATATATTTTCTGATTCTATAATATGCGACGGAAACCTGAATTTGACATCTAAATGCTATAGAAGTAGAGGCCATGTAACATTAGGAAGAAGTTAGTTATACACAAACATAAGAACCAAAAAAGCTCATCTGCAAAATCAGCAATACCTCCCAGCCCTCTGGTACATTATGCCCCTCAAAACCCAATGAAGATACTTTTGTGTGTCTTCAGATAGAGAGCCTTATCCTTTCTTAATTGAAGTTATATTCATTTTTGTCCACTTCCACAAATAAAAACTTCCAACACAATTCTAGATAGCCACTACCTCCAATATTCCTTCTGCAATGTCCAGTGTCTGGATATCAAGTCAACTATTGCTGTCATCAGCAAGGTAAAAATCCAAAAAGGCTCTCTGGGTTTGGATCTTAAATATATCCTGTCAGGTGGAAAGAGAACACTGTTTTATTGTTTTTCATTCTGCTGAAGCCCTTCTGATAATGCTCCATTTCCTATTTATTCAAGCAAAACAAACAGTTGAGATTACCATTTAGTACACAGAAAGTTACTAAAATTACTGTTAAAGCTTCTAGGTTACAAAAAAATATGCAGAACAGCAAATGGGAAGTTACTGAAGAATTAGAGGAGGGTCACCGATGTTAAGTGACATAGGTACCTAATGTCTCAGTGTTTGTAAGGAATGATGCAGTCACTGTCCTAGGAAATAGAGACTGCAAAAAGAGGAGGTGGATACCCAACTGTATGTGAATATTCAAAGCCACAATCTTGCCAAAAGGAAAAAATGCATCCATGTGCCTATACCTAGGAAAATGTCCAGTGAGAATGTGGCAGGAAAGACCCACCCTGATAAGACCTAAAATCCAATCAAACTATCATGCAAGCTATCATGCAGCATCAACTGCTGCAGCCAAGGTGCTGACTTGGTGTTAATTATGCTAAAACAATCCTCGTTCATCAAAATTTGAATACACTCCCTGCTTTTTGAAGTCTGATTTGAGAGAAAAGCTGATAGCTGGCCTGCAAATGTGTGACTAGCAGTCAATTACTTTATACGATAAATGTCCAGTCCCCTCTCATACAATCAGGTTCTTCTGGCATAACCCTTCTTGGGGTGTATGTGTGGAGATTCCTCCCCTGGGCTGGGGATGCCCCCCAAGGTTACTCCTCAAGGTTGAGAGAAAGAGATCTCCCCACAAGTGTTGGTGTGGGTGTTACCTCAGATCTCTACTTAATAATTATTTCTTTTCACTAGCTTTAATATAACTGCTTCAATAATTGCTTTGTTACAATGCACTATACTACTTCATGCTATATTATACTCTACTAGTAGATTTTTAGCGTTTATGTTGTGTAGTAAATAATTCTGATTAAGATCTTTTGTCTGTTCACCTGTTTGTTAATTTGTCATAATAAATTCATTTATATAAATATATGTGTTTTGCCATCATTAAAACCTGCAGGACAAAGTTGTTTAATCATACCTCTGTAATTCCTTTAAATTTAAACTGTTAATCTGAGGCTAAGATAGGATTCAGCCTCACCTAGACTCCTCTCTAAGAAGGAATTTAGAAAGCAAAGGAGTCCTTTCTGTACCTTGAGACTCACTGTCAAGGCTTTGTTTTTTAATAATTTTGTCTAAGCCTTCCACTCCCACCTGCAACAGAGAATAATGAGGCTCTGGTATCTGAATAGACCAGAGCAACTGCTACTGGAATGGTGTGCAGTGACAGTGCCCAAGGTTCAAACGACTGCAGCTCCTCTTTCTGTTGACCACCCTGTATCAGAAGACAACAGTGGTCCTTCTGGCATTTTTATGAAGTAAGAAGAGCTACTTCCCTTGAGAATCATAGTGGAGGAAAATGCTGTAATTGTACATACTGAACACAATTAAATTTTAATCTCTTGTATCCACCTTGGCTAGCCTGGCAGAAGATATGGGAGACTTCCCTGGGAACTCTGAGGTTTCAAGTACTCTTGGTATCTTCCTGAAGAGTCTTCATAGTGCCTGTTCATAGGAGCATCTTCCAACTCTTGCAATGTGAGCAAGAGCAGGGTGACAGAGCTGAGATTTATGCTGTGTGCTTACCCTTCTTTGTGTACCCTGGAGAACACCCAAATAACTAACTCAGCTCAAATTTGTAAAATTTTTTTGAGGCAGAAAGACTACACTTTCTAGGAAATCTGGTTCAAGAGTTATTTAAAGGTAAGATCAAATACAAACAAAAAGTGCTGTATTTGGGTGTTTTTCCCACAACATCTGAAAATTAAGAACATGTCAAAAATGAGTAGAATGATATGTGGGGGGAAAAGGTCTGAAGGAAAGCCAAATCAAAATCATCTTTTCTATTTTAACAGACTTCCCACAGGTTTTCCTGATACCCAATATTTCATCTAGCTGCATGCCCCCACACACCTGTTTGTATGCATTAAAGAACAAAAGAACCTCTTCTCAAGGCATTAGCCAATGCCCCGTCTGAAGTCCTTCTAGGAATCCACAAAGATTTAATCTTTATCCCTAAACTAATTTCCTTTTATCCAGGAGATAGGTCTAGTCGTTCCTCTTAATTAAAATAAGCATTACTTTGGTTCTGTGGAGATACAAAAGCCACTTTTTCTTTTGCATAGCGGAACATCTCTGTGCTTACTTGAATACTTTCCTACCTCCCTCAAATGGGAAGGAGCAAACACTTCATCACACACTCCTTTGTTGTATATATTTTGGTATGAAACATTTCACTCAGGGTAAAAATGTATGTGAAGCATGGAACAAACATGGAATGCAAACATCAGAATGGGATTGAGACACAACTTGTTACTGACTCTCAACAAAGAGCAAGCAGGTCACTGCACAGCCAGTTTACCACCTGGGACTCAGCGGTGCTGGAGGGTGAAGGAGGGTGCAGGGGCTCATGTACCACACTAAGTGCTTCTGGGTGCACGCTGCTAATGATGAAGCTCCCACAGGGAAAGGACACGGAGGACCTTATGCATCTACTTCTGCCAGATCCTCACTGCCACCCTTGTAGCTTTCACAACCTGGAGAGAGGCCACCTTGTCCCCTGTGACAGCCCAGGGTCAAAGACACAGAGATCACTTTACCCTTCTGCCACCTTCTGCCGAGAGAGTCACATCTCACAGCACACTACCCTACTTGCCATCTCTCTACTCAGCAATTATGAGGGGGAAAAAAAAAAAACATGATCCAAAGTTTCAAGCTACATCCAGGGTATTTGAATTCTCAAAGAACACTGTGCAGCAGATTAATTTGAGGATCTACAAGAAATGATGTGTTAGAGAAAATAAAATCCAAGTCCCATCTAAAATGGTCATGTTAAGTATTGCTGTTTAATACTTAAGCCAGTCATTTCCACAGTCACCTTTTAAAAACTGCTTTATTTTATCTTATTTGACTCTACTGAACTAAAAGCACAGATTCATTTCATAGTCTTGGGGGCAAATTCACTACTTTCTTATCTCCAACTTTTTATTACTGTTATTTTTAAAAGGGTATGTAGTGATAGAACAAGAGGGAATGGTTTTAAACTCAAAGAGAGTAGGTTTAGATTAGATATTAGGAAGAAATTCTTTACTGTGAAAGTAGTGAAGCACTGGAACAGGTTGCCCAGAGAAGATGTGGATGCCCCATCCCTCGAAGTGTTCAAGGCCAGTTTGGATGGAACTTTGAGCAACCTGGTCTAGTGAAATGTGTTCCTAATCATGGCAGTGGGATCAGAACTAGATGATCTTCCAACCCAAACCATTCTATGATTCTCTTAGTAAGGTTATGACGCAGCAAGCTGAAAATAAGAACAATCTTAAACTCTTCTGTTTGGGGATTTTCCCCCTGCCACCTTTGTCACATGCTTTTAACCCAGAAGGCAGAACTGTCTATGCCAGAAACTCCACACATTGTTCAGTGTTATAAATATTTGTGTTTAACCTCTTATCAGCAAAGTATTGTTGAGACCAAAAAAAATTACTTACCTAAAACAAAAGGAGGAAACAGTGCAGTCTGTAAGGCAGGAGAAGACACTGTTAAGTGAAGAAATACAAATACACACATGTCCCGAAAATAACACAATAGAATCCAGCATAAGTTTAATACAAATACAAAAGGAAAAGCATCTACCAGTGTTAGCAATAATCCATGTAGTAAGCACACATGGCAATCCCAACCACTTCCAAAATGGATGGAAAAATACTTTTTACGTAAATTTGCAGCATGAGTCAGAAAAGTTCAGGTCTTCTCCCAAACTACTATTTTAGTTCTGGAAAAAGCAGTAGAGTCATTGTCTCATCTACTCAAAACAGGTACCAACACAAAACCCCCTGTATTTTGGCAACAGTGCATGTTCAGTAGCATTATTCATATACACTTTTGCTCCTGAAATTCAGGAAATGTGCCATGGAACAAGAAGTGGACACTTCCCTTAATATTGTTTATCTGAATCTCCCCTTAATGCTATTACTATTACCTGTGGTAGAATCTCCTGAAACATCTAGAGCTGCTGCCTGTTTCTCTTTTGTCTGTAGCTTGAAGCTCAGTCATTAACATAACAATACAGAATAATACAGAGCTAGTGAGGCATTTTCTTTGGGTTTTAGTTTTGATGGGGAAAAAAGTTTTTATAAAGAAAGAAAAACAAATCACAAAAACGACAAAAATGCAAATAAACAAAAAGACCCACAAAATATATCTCTTGTATAGCCCTCCCCCACCACAGGAAGAAAGATATCTAGATATCTTTTTATTCCTCCCATTTTTCCTTTAGAAAACTTAAAATTAAGTGATCTTCTAACAGAAGTCAACACCAACCTGAATCCTCAGCAAGCTCTCAGTGGATTTGTTGCTCAGCTAAGAAGTGTGGACCATAAAAGGAGAAAGGATGAGAATGAAAGTCCTTATTAACATATTTGAAAAGAACAGCAGGTCAGGAGAATGAATTGTATCTTAATATTGAAACAAAAATGAAGCAGGCATTCTTGAATTAAAATTCTTCAGAACTTTCTATGTCTGAAAGTTCTCCCCCCAGCCAGCACACAATACAAGTCTGAAAGTATGGGAACTTCTCACATGAAATTCAGTTTTGTGTCCAGTTGCACTTTTGAAATAGAAATTCATAAATAAGAAACACAACCTAGTTTGATATGAATGAAATAACATTTTTAGAGCAGTGCTAAAATCTTGGAGACTCAGTCTGACTTTTGCTTGTGTACATACACGTGCAAACACATTTCTGAGATACTGCGAGTGAGCACAGAGGAATGTTATAAACAAGCATTTCTCCATTGCATGCACAAATGGTGTGTTGCAAGTGCAGGGAAGCAGAGGCTGCATGGCCAAAAACGTGGGCTCTAGCCACGAAAATGCAGTCCATGATCAGATCAGCTTTGATTCATGGTAACACCTGCAGATTTCTGGGTTACATTTTACCTACGCTCCCAATAGCATACACACCACAGCGTTCATGATATTCAATCCTTGGCCTCATGCTTCTTCTTAAGAAGGAAAACCACCTTACATCAGAGTCCTTTGGTGAAGGACCACACTAACTCTTGACTGTTATCAGGCTCTGGTCTGCTCTATTTGCTCAAGTACTGAGAAATTTTTCATCTGTCTTTTCATCAACACCCGAACCACTTTTCTAATGCTAAAGGCTACTGTTTGCCAGCAACACAGACTGGAAAAGGTCAGCCTCCTAGATCACAAACTCCAAACCTCTGCTGCTGCAAGGAAATATGTCTGAATTTTATTCATAAGGGCATAATGGCTGACTGTCCTCACAGCTGCGTCCTGAATACACCACATTACTCCACGGGTGCCTAACACAGAGACAGATCATGATCTTGGGTTACATTTAAGGATATAGATGAGTTGCATTAAAATGAGACTGATAGGGATGTATGTACCTGCTCTTACTGTGTTTTTCCTGATGAAAAAGGAGAAGACAACACAGGCACAGAGTCTCCTCTTGTTAATGGTTTCTTGCAAGAACTACAGCATTTGTCTTTAGGAGCTGGATGTAGCAAGGCGTATACTGAATCTGTCTCCCCAGCTTGGTCACTGTCCAAGTTTGCAGAGTGGAGGGGTGGGGAAATTACGAGTTAGGTTGTTCAAATCTACTATACAATAGTCTTGGTAAATATTTTAGCAATATTTGTTTTGAGCAAAGCACCCATTCTGCCAAGCTGTCTCCCTTTGTGTTAGGAGTCCTGCTGTCCCCTAACAACTTCTCCCATGAGATCAGATTACTGGGACAACAGCCAGAGTATGCCTGCTATAACCTATGCAACAGGTAAGGGTAGTGCCAGGTAAAAACAAGGGCCTGGAATGCAGGGTTAACCTGCATGGGCTTGTCCAAAACTTGAAAGTTTACCCTGTTAGATATGGTCAAGGTATATAGCTGGTTGATACGATGCTGAGTGCAGACACAGATGAGTCATGTTCAATACTGTCAAGTAAAGCCGTGGCTCTTGCACAGCACTCCCACGCCAGGGAATGCTGATCTCAGCACACACTTCACAACCCCATTTAGAAGCAACACGGGACAAGGACTAGAAAGGTCTTAAATTCAGTTTGTTTTTTTCCTTTGCATCTTGTATTTTAGTCAGTGACATATACAAACACCTTCAGCTAGAAGCTTAAATACTGCTTTTCGAGACAAACAAAGAAACCAAAGTAAGTATTAGCAGATTTTCTGAGAACAGTTCTCTCTCATAATGAAAGATAAAAGTGAAAGTGAAATGAAGTTAGCAGTAGAATATTTAGAGAAAAAAACACCCCTAGCCTAGCAAGCTCATTCCCCTCTGTATCCCTATCTTCTTATTCTATTAAAAGTGAAGGTTTCTGTCATGGAAGCTGCACTGGTTTGTCTTCCATACTGATCTGTGCTCAGTAAATAGCTGTGGTGGCAGAAAAGTGACTGACTGCTTTCCATTCATCACCACCTGCAGTTCAGTCCCCCTGCCACTTCTCCCACATCAACTCAGCTGGTAGGTTGCTTGTACAGGTGCCTACTAACTTGTTTCAGGTAGCCAAGACTGACTGCTCAAAGTCAGTCCAGGTCATTGACAGAAAAGAAACATACTTTTTCATATTTTAATGATGTTCAATCATTGTGATTGAAAATCATAATGATGTTTTAATGAGGGATGATCACTAATCATCCCTCTTGCAATGTAGCAAAGAGGAATAGGTTTGGGATAATGCCTGGTTTTAACACTGGGCAGCAGTAACATGGAAACCTTCAGTATATTTGCCCTCCCAAGTGACATGTACTAAGTGCTGCCTATACATCTTCAGCAACAGAGAAGGAAAGAACAGCACAGAGGTGCTTTACAGATGAACTTCACCTTCTGCCTTGCAATGCTATTACAGAAATGTTGTCACTCTGCCATAAAACATCTCTCAAGTCACAGTGTGCTAATAAATACTGGAACATGCACAACGAAGTCAGTTTGTTGAGTGAGATTCTTTAATAGCCAAAATGAATACTTATTCAGCTGTCAGTCACACCAATTAAAGGCATTGTGCACAGCTAATGACAATGGATGCACTCCTGTCTTTTACAAAGTTATTTGATCTCTGTTAGAAGTTTGTTCTTTACCATAATGAAAGAACACATAGAGCACTACTGCTATTTGTATTATGAAGCATCTATTTATGTAAGCACAACCATTTTAAATTTAAATTGTAAACAAATAAAGCTGGAGAACTACTGTCTTTGCCAAGCAGGGAGCCTAAACATTGTATATGAAAATCTATTGTATTGTGGAACAGAAATTTGTGTTACTTTTATGTCTTGAGAATGTACTGACCTTGCTCCAACATTTAAGGTATAATTCAGTGCCTGCCTGGACCTCTACAAAATAACTGACTGCTTTTGGTAGCACAGTCATCATGTGCTTTCATAAACATATGTATATGTACATAACCTGTAAAACTAGTACTATGCACCTACTTATCAAATCACCCCTCCTCACCAAAAAGGCCTGGAGTAAAGAAAAAAATAAATATACAATGTCATTTCTGATGGTGTGTTAAGAGAAATACACAATACTGGTATGCCAAAAGATATGTTGAAGCCCTGCAAACATACATTTTTAAGAATTATTTCCTCCAGAACTTCGTTTAAAAAAAAAAAAAAAGTCTTTTGGCAGTTACAGGGCAAATTGCAGACATTCCTCATGGATTTAACTTTCTTTAGCAGACCTGTTATCAGTCTCATCAAGACTAATTAAGACTCAGTAGTAATTGCTGGGTGTCATCTCTAGGGTTATAACAGTCATTGGATCAGAACTGAAGAGAGACTGCTTCTCCCTACAGAAATCACGAAGGGCCTTTTCATTCACTGTCTTTAGCACCTCAGTATGTCTGAATTTAAGAGACTGTAAATAAATGGTATCTTTTTGTTTTCAGAGTACATAGGAAAAACCTTTCTAGAATTTGTTAGGAATACTCGTTCATACCATTTTCTATAGCCTTCCTGAACTCCCCTTACATACCTTAATACACACAGCAAGTGAAGAGTTCTCAAGACACAAACCTCTTACTTGGTCCTTCAAAACATGCCCTCTCTCCAGAACAATTTACTGCAAACAGGGTTACCATGGCACACCAAGTACCTCCCAGAAAACTAAAACAGTATCCCCTCCCTAAAAATGCTGTCATAGTCTGTACTGTACCCACCTGCTCCAAAACACTACTATCTCATAAGAACCACAACAACTGGAAAGGTGTTAAGGGACGAAAAGGGTCTCACAGCACCTTGCAATAGTCAGACACAAGCAAGAGCTATCAAGGCTCCAAGCCTGCCAGAGAAAGATCATACATGCCATGGACCACATTAGAATGCATTTGAAAAGTCATCTAGGTTGCAACAAACCCAAATACATGCCAGATTCTGCACATCACTACAAGTGCAAGATAAAAGAACATGACATTTTCACAGCAGTCATCAATACACTTATCAGTACAAACCACTGACACTACCAAAAAGCATTTACAGTTGCAAAATTCAAGAATGTGTGTAATCCTTCTATTGAGCTCTCACAAAGACTCTTCTGGGAACTGTTGAGAGGGAAAAGATTCACCAGATATGCCACAGGATATAAAAACAAAGCAAACAGTTCTTTCCATGTGAGAAACAAGTTTGTACATGGAGAAAAAAAAAGTAGTAATACTATTATTATTGCCACCCAGGCTTCACAGAGAGCACTCTGTCATCAGAACTCGCTGCTTTACAAGACAGATCAATATGCTAAGAGCACAAGGAAAGGAAGATAGCAAAGGAATCTTGAACTCAGGAGGTAGGATAATATTTCAACTCTTTCATATAAACTATTTGACTGAAATATTCAAAACTTACCTGATGTAGCTTTTGAAAAAAATCTATGAAGATGTCATTATTGGTAATATTTGAATCCAAAGTAACTGAAAAACAAGAGGAAAATTGGGAGAGAGGAAATCAAACTTGTCAAAAAGCAGAAAAATATGGCTAGTGTCTCAAAACAAGATGATTAAACAGTCATTGCTACTTTACCCATCCTTTGATTTCTGCATAGCTACGTTTATCAATCTGTTGTTAAACCACTGAAGCTATGAACAGGGCAAAATATATGTAATGTTGTTATTCTCCAAGTAATTCCTCAGTAAGATTCTTGGCTGCATAACTCCATGTCACTCATGTCCAGTAAATTTAAAAGAAACTGTTGAATACTCATGTGAAAAAGATATAATAATCACTAAGTAAAACTTTAAAGACTAATCTTGAGTTTTGGGTTTCTAAGTCTTGGCACAAAGTATCTGAGGCCAGAGGCTACAAAACCTTGTTAAGCTCATCCCCTTGCATACCCCTTTTGGATAGTTGAAACGGATGATTTTTTTTTCCCTTGGCTTACATGAAACTCACAAGATGCATTCTGGGGATCCTGTGTTTATAACACAAGGACCTGGTTTATAACACAGCACATTGCACCTGAGATATACTTCTTCTACAAACTCTTGTTATAACTCTCACAAGTCTTCCTGGAAACCTTTGAAGGGAAGAGGTTTGTGCAGAACTCAGGTCCATATTACACTTCTACCTGTCCAAGTGCCTGTCTCTTTTTGCTTCCCTCTTTTACCCACACCGGGTCCCTCATCAGCTCTGGCAGTTGTGAACAGCGGGGGTGGGTCGCTCAGCTCACTGATCTGGAAGGATAGAGAATGGGCAGACTGCCCATTGCTATGGAGGGAAAGCAGGCACGACACTGCCTGAGCTGCAAAACAGACAAAGGGAAGATTCGAATCAATGAAGAAGCATTCATAGTTCCCAAGAAGCTTTCAGCGCTCTCTTTTTTTGACAACAAGACATGGAGGCACAGGGTACCCACCCAGCACCCCCCTCAGGGCCCACAGAAAGGGCAGAGCCTTTGTCAAGGCAGTCACCAGAAGACACCCCAAATGAGCACCTCTTTTGGTGAGTTCCACATTTTTACAGCCTTACCACTTCTGAGCTCCTGTTCCAGGCCAGAAAAGTAGCATTGCATTAACCTTATCAGCTAGGTCTTATACACTTCATGGGCAAACATGATCTGGTTACAGATGTCTTCTCTTTCCAGTATGTTCATAGAGAATTCCTTTTGTCTGTACCCACAGAACTACTTTTTACTGGCTGGTGACTTTTGCCCTTCACTTGTGCTACCTCAGAGGCTTTTATTATTTTGTCTGTGAGAGGTGGTAACTTTTATCAGATCATCTAATATTGACAAAAAAAAAAACCACAAAACCCAACTAAACAAAAAAACCTCAAATCAGAGAATCTTTCAGGAATACAAACTATCTGAAAGTTCGATTCTTCCTCCAACTATATTAGCTGGCTAATATGTGCATGATGACTCTGTACAAACCCTATCTCATTTATAAACAGACCAAAAAGTACCAGACAATCACGATTCCATTACCTTACAGTTGACATCAGGCAGCTCAAATATAGGCTTAGGCAGCATTTGGTCACTTGGAAGACAAAAATTCTCTACTATAGGCAAATTATCTCAAGCTATGTTTACCTTCTCAAAATGCACATTACTAAACCACATCAAAATAGAGCCAGTTTGCCTGGAAACATTCTTTCACCTAAATCAAAACAATATGTCATCTGATCGGTAAAATGAGACTGCCTACTGAATGCTGAGACATTACTACTAATTAAATTTATGCACCAGTATTCAACTCAGCAATTAGTGTCGCTGAATCACGTGAAAGATGACATTTTCCACTCCGGCCCCTGCTGCTCAAGTCTTTCACATGACTCCAGCAACTGAAGTGTGAAGGAAAAATGAAGTTTGTTACTGAAAGAATTAGCAATAGCTTTTTTTTGTCTGTTATCTAAAAACAGGATTGAGGTGTATTTTCACAACTCCACTTTCCCCGCACTGGCAACACTGGTATCTCCAAGTTTTTGATTATTAGATATGTGTGAATCACTCTGAGATACACAATGTAAAAGAGTTAGATAACACTACATGCTTTGGTTTTATGTAAAGCTGACAGCAATAGAGTGGGTTTTATCTTCAAAGCCCTTAACATGCGTGATCTTCCTCCAGGGACTGAAAATTATTATCTCTGCTCTACAGGCAGGCAAACTGAGGAGATACAGCAACAGAATTTGCCAAGAGTCTGACAACAAGGAGGTCCTCTCTCTTCCCTCTGTGTTCAGGCCATGCCTCACCTACACAAAGTGGTGCTGACTGTTATCATCAGTTCGCACAAGCCAAGACTCCAGCCTACTTAAAAAAATAATTAATTCATCTCAGTGCCAGCTGCTGGGTAAGTTTCTCGAAAGGCGTCCTCAAGATTTGGGCCACAGAAAAGAGAAACTTCTCACAACCAATTCCACTTTTTCACATCTCAAAGAATTAAAGGAAAATGCCCATAAACTTTAAGCGTGTATTTGTGTATGGTGTTAAAAGCCCAGACAGGATGTTCCAGCCTGGTGGAAGAGGTATGTAGTCTTCATCCAAGATTTCCACCTAAAACAGATAGAGCAGCTTCCCTAAATATGACAGTTTTAAGCTCTAAGACCTTATATCTGCAAAACGAGGAGTAAAGACACAGGCCATAGTTGGGGCTGTTTCTTTTTTATCTTTCTGCAATGAATATTCCCCTCCTCAGTAGGAGATACTATCGATTTTAAAGTGTAGTTGACCAAAATTATCTTCTACTTATGTCTCCCATAGGCTTGTCTTTTGGTGTGAGGTCCTGCCTATGCTGTCTAGATCAGCTGTTTCATCCAGGGTCACACTGGAGGTGTGCAGATGCCAAAGTCAGACAGAATAACAGACACATAAGTGTTAAACTGAAAAAATAGAACAGCATTATAATTTTACAGCTATTATGTATGGATTATATACAGAATGAACAGGCCTATGGGCATTTCTTTCTCAGTCATCTGATTAAATATTTAAAAAAAAGGAGACTATTCTAAGACAAAAATGCTTAAAGATGTTCTATGTGAAAATAAAAATTTATGTATGCAGAAACTGTCAAACATTCTGGTACATGACTGACTAAATGAAGCTTTAAGACATTTTCTGTATTTAATTACTTTTTACCAATTGCTTTATCATGACTAACAGATTTTTCTTTAGAACTGTTTCCCCAACATTCATTTATAGTGATCACAGATGCTGCTAAGTGACTCAGTAGAGGCTGATATCATGACCAGAATCCATCAGTGTTGCATTTCACTCTTAACCCTACAGAAGACACTTCCTATTTCCTCCCTGCCTTGAAGTAACTCGGTGAATACTCCAACAATTGCAAGAAATTGTTGCAAGAATTTCAGTTCCACAACAGAAGTAGGTTAATGATGATATTTCCTTAGTAGGTTAGTTATTATGATATTTCTTCAGAGAGGGACTCACTAAGTGGCTGCCAAACTGAAAACCCAAATGCAAGCAACACAACATCAAAAGGCAGAAACCAGGAAGAGCCTGGATTTTCAGCAGCTATTCGATTTCAAGGAAATCCAGTAACATTTTTAATGTACAAACTGCTGTCCTGGTGATCTCTGCCCTCGCTCTTGAAGCTTTTATAACTTAGCTGTTCTTGCAAGAGGGCCTTGCCTCTCCATAAAGTAGAATAAAGCCCCACAGCTCTACTATTAGGGGTGCCCTGGTCAGTGTGCAGTCCCCAGAGAACTAAAACCAGAGGAGAGCACGACTACAGTACAGAGCACTGCCTGGCTGTCCTTGGGTGAATCTAGGCCAAAGCTCAGATCCTTCAAATGCATGTCCATCTGCCATTAACATTCCACCTGAGGCTGTTCAAAGTCATTTGCAGAGAATGGCTACCCAAATCCCAGTTCAGCAAGTGCAAACAGTGCTGCCCTACATGTGTGTGGTTCATCCAAAGCAAAGGGAAACATCCTTCAGCTGTCCTTCCTGCTGTTAGTACTTAATACCTAAATACCCAAGACAGAGGAGGGGACAGAATCTGGATTTCCCACAGCTGAATGCTCTAGCTCCTAAAAGGAGGGGCAAAAGGGGAGAAGGCAGAGCCACTTCTGGACCCTCTTACAGCCTATACAAAGCCCCATCTCCCAGAGGAAGTTCAAGGTTGTAAATCCTCAGACCAAGACAAGACCTTCTGGCAATCCACAGCCAAGTGCCTATCCCCACAAGAGGAGAAGGGCAAAAATTGCCCAGCTCCCCTCAGCGTATCTGCCAGCCTTGCCTAAGGAACTCATTCTAAGCAAGATGTCTTTTAATATATCACTCTTGGTTGTTCATACTTCCTTCTGTACCATTTGCCTTGGGTCCTCAGCTTAAGGCTGAGAAACCCATTTGGAAGTAAGTCACCAGGAGGTAAGTTGCTCACAGTCCGTATATCTGCACCTCCCCATTTAACAGTGTATCCAAAACCTTATATGCTCCATCACAACTCAGTGTCTCTGAATAGCTGCTCCCTTCAGACAGTCCTTTTGAAGAGAACAACTGCTCTAGGAGACAACAAGAAACAGGGTTTGGGAGTGTCAAACAACAAAAACACTCTCAGATTATAAAGTGATGGGAAATAGGAAAATGCACAACAGAAGAAAAGGGGCAGATAAAGCACAGCACTACAAATAAGAATTATGTGTCTTGATTTTGCATCACAAGTTAGGAGGGGTAGAATAGCAGTGCTACCTTGAAAGATGCACAATTAGTTTGGCATCACATCCAACAGATGCCATAGACAGATCCTCCAGCGTAGTGTTAAAGAAATAGCCCCAGGTATAATCGTGCAGAAATGTGTCCATGGGGGAAGCTTATTTCTAATTCACATCCTGCACCCATCACAGAATTGTGTGTCTGTGGGACTTTGTGGTCACTACATATGGTCTGGTCAGGAAGGTGAAAATTATCATATCCTAGAGTTTAAGACTTCTCATAGGTGTGCATTTTTCTGCCTTAACATTATCTCAAGCAAAATAATCAGAAGAGCAGATAATAACTGTAGATAAGCAACCTCACAGAAGTATAGGGAAGACAATTAAGAGTCAGCAGTGCAGTTGTAAACTTGAAGACCAAGTGTGGGAACTACCAACAACAGGAGTGAAGGAGCTGAAAATAAAAATCAGCTAATAAGTTGTAGAGCCCAGCAAGAGGCAAACTGTCAGTTACAGGGGACGCAGAGAAAAAGAAGATTTTGCTGAGGGGACTAATGATGTTAAGCAAGAAACTGTAGGCCTTTTAAAATAGGAAACAAGTACATAAGCTGGTTTATTAGTTCACATAGGTTATCCAAAATGCTCCATTAAACAAAGCAAAATACTACTGTGAGAGGTCCCACAGGGAACAGAATTGCAAGGCTGTAACTCCAAGAGCACCCCTCAGCAAACATTGCTTCTCATGGCAGCCCTGCTGCCACTCAATTGCCTTTTGGCTGTGCTACATCAACTGCTTGTGGAGTCACACAGAGCTGGGAGAGACGGATTGATCCCCATCCAGGTTTATGGGCTTAAAAACAGCTTCAGAGTGGTCCTGTCACTGCAACTGAGAGCACAGCAAGGAGGCTGCCAAGAGAAGAAGCACCTACCTAACCCACCACTGTGAGAAGTGTTCATCAAAGAGGGCCTTAAAATAGGGTTGTTGAGGTAAGGATGACAGTGTGCACCCAGACTCACCAAAAAGCTGGGAGAGATTTCACTTTGAGTCAAGGACTGGCAATGGCCAGAGAGATCAGGCTAGCAAAGCGAAGGCTGGCAGCCACTCTGCTTTCACAGAACAGCTCAACATCACATGTTCCCTTTTACTTTCCTGAGAAAGCCAGAGGAAGGATAGAGGGGAAAGGGACAGAGGCAATTCAACATGGAACAAAACAAAAGTAGAGATAAACAGGCAGATTCCCCCTGAAATAATCCACTTCAGTTGGCTGGGGCCGTACCTTATTCCCTGATGCGCACTATTCCTTGGAATACTCCAAGCCTCTGTTCCAGCTGTTTTGTAACTGCCTGTATGGAAAGGGTCACTGCTGAGGTATGTGCTTAGGCAATTTGGGCCAAAGGATCCAACACTTGGTTAACCCTCAGCTTGTCCAAAAGTCTCCTGCAACTGACTGTGCAATTTGCCTGGCCTGAACCCCATACACTTTCTAGAGTTGTTCGTGGGATTAACAGCCCAAATTAAGCAGCTGCACAGCTCTCCCAGAGGCCAAGGAAAAGACACACTTGGAGCTGACAGCTGCTGCTGCTTGGCCAATGTTTTCCCATTAAGCCAGTTTACCATACCCTTCTGCCACATCCCTTGGTTTGTTTTTTGGATTTGTCTCTCAGTTGCTGCTGGATTTCACCCTGCAAATATAGGTTCCCCACAAGGAGCACTCTGTCCCTCTGACAGGACAGCATCGGGAGAATCAGGCAGGTACGAGGGCCAGGTGGGAGAGCAGGTGCATCCCCCCCGTGGTGGTATTAGCATGAAGGACAGCTTCAACAACACGGACTGGGGCGAAACAAGTGGCTGCCCCCATCCCACACTAGGATCCTGGGGGCCAGGAGAGCCCCTCCCGCTCCACAGCTCAGCCTGGTTGCGGGATCGGAGGCAGGCTGCCCCCACCGCGGCTTTCGGGGTGCCCTCATCCGCACGTCCCGGCGGCGGAGCTGGCTGTGCCGCGCCTTTCGAGCAGGAATCCCCCCAGGAACACAGACTATCCCTGCGAGCACAACGCCGCCGGATCCGCCGCCCGCTCCCTCCGCGCTCCCAGCGGATCCCGCACCTCTCCCCAGCCCCTCGGCGGCGGCGATGCCGAAGTGCAGCTTCACGGCGGGGCCGAGGGAGGGAGGCGCCGGGCGGCACAGGTGGGAGGCGGCGCTGAGGCGGGCCAGGCACAGCTTTAGCAGCGGCTTTGCTTTAAAACCTCTTCCGAAAAGGGGTGAGGGGCAGCTCTGCCTCGGTGCCTCGCCGCGAACAGGAGCAGAGCGAAGGGAATTAATGGTGAATAAGCCCGCAACGGGCATCATCTAGAGGGTGACCCGGGCCCTGAAATGCCAGTGCAGAGCAGAGAAGAAGTTGAAAACAGCATGGGGTAGGAAACCACGAAGTGGTAATTCATTACGAAGTGACGGTAAGTCACTCTTTTTCAAGGAACGTGAACCACGGACCACCTGGTGCAAGGAGTACACAGCAGGTTTGTAAGAAAAGAAAGTCCTTTTTTCACGAAGTACCTCACCGGAAATCAAGTGTCATTTAAATGGTGGGTCTGTCTCTGGCCTGGGACTTCTGTTTATCACTAATTCCCAGACAACAAGGATGATTTAACTTGCCCTGTTTCACAGCTTCCTTTAGCAATTTCTGGTACCCTGAGGGAAAGGCGCTGTGGGACTGGGCCTTCTTGTGTGGATCACTGTGGAAGTCCTGTAGTCTTATACCAGCAGCACTGCTGGAGAGGTGAAATGATTTCATCAGCATGGAAATGATGCTGCTGCTCATCTCTCTCATGTGAGAATGGTACTCCAGCCTCACCAAAAGGCCTTTTGTGAGAGGAAAAAAATTACTTTGGGAGGGTCGTGATTCACCAAATGACCTGGGGAAAATCCCTTCTCAGTGGAAAAAGGTTTGTACATATTTTTCAAGAAACAGGATTAACTGTGTGTTGCGGATAAAATGGAGAAGAGTAAGTAAAAAACATTGTACATCATCTTTGATAACTTGATTTGTTTTTATTCTTTATCTATGCAGCCAAATATAACCAGTCTGACAGCTCCAGGAGCACACACACAACCACCCACTTACAATAGCAGTTGGTGTCACAGCTGCCCTGTTGTCCCTGGGAGATGAGGCTCCCCATACTCCAGAGCAGCTCTGGAAGAGGTTTTCTTCCCCTCCTGAGCAAGGCTGATGTGCGTGTTCCCACTTGCATCCCAAGCCACTTTGCAAATCTGTATCTCTGCTTTTGTTACTTGGGAGGTGAAGCATCTGCAGACTGAGTTTAATGGAAAAAATGTGAGGCAGACAGATGCTCTGGACCATGGGTGGGAGTTTTCTACTGCTGTCATTCTAGGTTGGTGGTCTCATCTCATCTTATCTTCCCAAAACTGGTTCCTGAAACTGCAGGAGGGGCAACTGAGCTACTTTTGGTGGCAAATCTCTAATAGTGGCAAGAGACAGGACTAAGGAAGCTTCCAGTTACAGATGTGACAATGTAATATGCTGGGGCCCCACTTCTTGAAGTGCAATCTCTCTTTTATGTCATCTGCTGACTTCAAGTTTAACCTAGAACACATGTAACCCAAGGTCCCAGTTACTGCAATGTGACACAACTGGTTAGCCTGCCCAGGGTATCAGTTTTGTATTTTGACTACTCAGATATTACATGGAACATTTTTAAATGTGCTCAGAGCTATAAGAAAGTATGTATCTCTGGACAGCTATAGCCAGTTGGAACACAACTCAACTAGGGATGTTTCTTTAGCAGGTTACATGGGAAGTAGGAGACCGGCATAGATGTACTGCTCTTAGTTCTTAATGTGTGACAGAACCATTATGTCGGCCTAGCTTGTCAGTTCTTCTTTTTCTTAATGATTACATTCAATTCAAATACAAGTGAGAAATCTAAGCTTCAAATTACTTCTTTCAAAATAATTTTAAAAAAAATATTCTTCCTTTGTTCCTGTTGCCCAAGTCCTTCAGTTACAACTACATACGTACCTTGTGGTCTTGGTGTAGCTGAAAATATTTGTTTCAAATTATTCACTTCAAATGCCACGTCCTAAGGATTTTTAACCCTGCCAGCTGTATTTTCATTTGGATATGGCTACTATTCTTCATTATTGACCACATCCTACAGTAGGTAAGTGAGCTTTGCTTCACAGAGGTGGTTACACCACGTGGACTCACAGCAGGAATAAGGCGTACAAGGATTTCCCATGTTTCAAGTCTTTATATGAGAATAGTAAATAGCTCAACTTCTCCAGGAGCTGAGCTACAGACTCTCGGGTCAGCACTCTGTCAGAGAAGACCTGAAGCATTTCCCAACCAGACCTGGTCACCTTCCCATGGCTTTCCATTGCAAAGGTGGTATAGGGCTCTTAGTATCACTTGCCATGGTATTGATGGGGCACCTACCTAACTGATGTAATGGGACATAGGATGTGGTATTTCTCTTTGAAAGGACTAGTTGATCAAAGGGAAAATGGGAAGGAGGCAAGGGAGAGAGAGCAGTTTAATTCACAGTGCCCACTTACATTGTAAAAAGTAATTGAGAGAAGAACTGAGACATTTTGAGAGTAGCCTCTGATTCCAGTAAATCCAAGCTTGTGCTGAATTTACTCAGGAGGTATTTCTAGCCTGAATCACCTCTCATGGGAAGCCATGAAGAGATCACTAGTAGTTTTAACTACGCCAGCAGGGAGTGAAACTGTCGCTTGTGTATGGATAGAGACTCCAACAGAAGAATCAATCATGGAAATGAAAGTTCCTACCTAATCCCAAGTAGGAAAGCCAAAACTATGTAACTATGAAAGTCTAGTGAAAACTGTGGTCCCAAGGACTGTGGCTGTCTCTCCCGTGTCAGTTTGGACCACAACTCCTAGACCTGTTGAGGATAAATCTTGGTTGTTTTGGGGGGAAGTTTTGGGTCGTGTTTTCTGTTTTGGTTTGTTTTCTTTCCCCCCAGTTATCCCAAGCAGAAATATGTCTATTAGATGTAGATTTCAGAAAACCTTTTTGCCCAGACTCCTAACCCGAAATGGTAAGTGGCTACCTTTGAACATCCAGTCCATAGCAATCATTACCAATATTAGCAAGAAGGAATTGCAAGCTGCAAGAACTGAAGATACTTTTTATTCAAGGGTAGACACCTAATTAGCACAAACTGGCAATATGACATTGTTGGACTCAGGAACATCTTAATTTCCACCACATTGCCCCCTCGTCCCCTAGGACCCAGTGAAATCTGAATTCCCTGGACTTCAGAAGAACAGCAATGAGAATGTCTGCAATTCAGATTACCTCTGCCCCAAACCTTTGATTTAGTTGCTCATAAAGCCACATTCTGCTTGGGAAAGAGGATGGCGAATATAATGCCATTCATTCAGTCAAATCGCCACTTATTCCAGGAGCATGCTTTTGGCTGCTCTTCACTCTGAAGTGTTTGCTGTGGTTAGGATGGAAGACAGGGAAGGACTGAAGGAATGAAATACCAGAGGATCCAGCAAAATCAGTTTAGCACTGGCTGGCTGCAGAGTGCAGAGGATCAGTGTAAGCCTCTGACACATGCTAGAGGGAACGTGTGGCAGCAGGAAGTGACTGCCAGGCTGCCTATTAACCCAAGGGAACAGTACTCTACTGCTATTGCATAAATCGATTTTTCTGCATTGTCCATTGTTTTACAGTAGCACTCCAAAGATACATTAATAGAGGCACTAACAAATGCCTTGTTTGCTATCTTTAGGATTTAAATATAAAATAAAAGACATTCATTAAATAGGCATCTGTGGTATAACAGTGGGAAATTACCATGTAATCAACAATAGGAAGAAATAAACCCAACCAGCTCAGTTTTGCTTTCTTAAGCCATCATAATCACCTCAGCAGAATTGCCTTACTGTTTCCTTCCATTACAGAAGTTACCCAGTATTTCAGGCTGGTACTTGACACACCCACAAAAGTCTTGTACAAACTGGAAGACCTTCTCTTTTCTTCCTTTTTCAGTTTCCCCATAGGCAAGACATTAAATAACTTGCTCATTCTTACAGAACAAAAATTAGTTTGGTTAACTCCAGCAGACTCACTGAAGACACAGCTTACCTAGGGAAACAAGCAGAAGTGAAGTGGTCTCTTGCTTTCCTGTTAGGGCTCTAAGACTCCTGAAAATAAGTAGGTCTTTTTATCATCCTTTAGATAGACCTAAAATGTTTAACATCATCTGACTCTTCAGCGTTTCTATTATGGTATTAAATATTTTTAGGTCTTTAAAACTGTCTCCAAAGTTTTAATGTTTTTATAGTTGATATTACATAAAATTAAGGTTGTACGTTCAACCTTTTAACATGTGTATCTTGTTTGAACTGTCTTTTTTGTAGGATTTACCATTCAATTTCAAGAATTCTTAATTCTAGTCATACACCTCACAAAGATTGCAAATTAAAGGCTATGCCAGTCTGCCTCCATCAGGACAAGACTGAACGTAAGAATTATACAAGCTTAACATAATGCTTTTATAGTGAAATGAGAGATTTTAAAGAGGATTCATTTACACCAGACCAATTTCACCTCTCTGCTAGGCTTATTTCTCAAATTCACTTAACAAAAAAAATCTGAAAACCTTTGCACAAGGGGGTGTCATCACAGGGGAAAAATTAGGGGCCTCTTGAGCTGTCTTTTGGGGCGACTTCAGAAAGACTTGACTGCAACAGATCTGGAGAACACTGGCATACCCCAACACAACATGGATTTCAGAGAGACTTCCAGAATGAACTAACACCTTCCTATGAATTCCATATAATCTGTATTATTTACGTACAGCAACTGGAGCCCCACTGGATTGCAGTGGCTAAGGGTCATGCCTTCCTCCATGACTAACAGATGTTTGTGCCTTTCCCCAGCCCAGCCTGCCAAGTTTTTCTCTCTTCTCTGTAAGAGAAGGACATCTCATTTTCATTACCTCCTTTCTTCCTCTGCATTATCAATTTTGAATAAGCAGCTTATAGAGCAAATTACGGGCTAAACTGGGCAGAAAACTCCTCTTTTATTCCACAAGTCAACAGTAAGTAGTCCCTCCTTGAAGGGAAAAAAAAAAGGCAAGGCAGCGACAACAGGATAGCTTATCTGTGGACGGGCAAGTTCTATGTATCTGCTAACTTAAGTGAAAGTTTGTTTTACAAGAAAAGTTCTTGCTACTGTGTCTTGGTTATGCATGTAACACATGCTTAGTTACACATTTAGGTGTTAATCCTGCAAAAATTTCAAACTCAGTAAGGTCCTGTAACAAATGAACAGCTCATGTGCTAGAGCTGGGTTTTCTTGCCTTTGGTGCCATGTGCCATTTGTCTGGACACTGTTTCCAGTGACTAACACACAAACCCCTGAAGATCCTATCAGCCCCAAGTGGAGACAAAATTGCTTCTGTGCTATTGTACTCTAGATCAGTTAGTGCAAAAGGCAATTTATTTTAAAAAAACCACTTCCCTCTCCTGCCACCTTGTTTTTTATGACAGTCATGTGTAAGAATGAACAAGAAAGGTCACCTTTTGCAGGATGCAGCAGGTTCCTGGAGCCAGTAAAGCTGCTAGAATTATTTTACCATTCAGAAATTTGATAAAAAGCTTACCCAGTTTTGTGTAAGCTCACTGTATGCAGAGCTCTGTGACACATCACAAGTTCATGAAAAGATATTTGTAGTGAGTATTAAGAAATTAGGAACAGCACTGAATTTGAGATCCGTTTTCAAAGCTGCTGATTTAAAGTACCCTAACTGCATTCTTTCTCAGTACTAATTCAATAATTTAGCTGCCAAAGAGGTAGCTGAGATTTTCAAAGTTGCCTGTTAAGAAGGATTTTTCACATTAAAAAACTCTGAAATATAGAAAAACTAAAACCAACTGGTTTCTTAATAACAGAGCAAAAAGACAGAAGCCATTTGCTTGCTAGGGAACACAGGATTAGAAATACACATGAAGAAGTCCTATTCACAGGATTTTTACTATGCAAAAAGTATGATCTTTTGGTTTCTGTGCCAAGTGCATTAGTTTTAGTGCATTATCACCAGAAGCCTCACTTTTTTTTTTGTTCTAGGAATGCCTTGTCTTCATATGTTCACGATAATAGAATTTTCAACACTGTCTGTTGCAGCCAATCCTTGCTCATTCATCTAAGTCCATCTGACTGCCTCCACCTCAGGGCTTGTTGGTCATCTAAACACACAGCTGGAGATCTTTGTAGAGATTGTTCCTTCCACCAAAACCTGTGAGAACAAGCACCATGTGTACATTTCCTCCTGGTCATCTCAAAGCAGGGTATTTTAAAGGTCTATTTCTAATTAGATAATTAAAAAATCTCAGACACTGTTCCTATTACAGATCTAAAAGCCAGATCTCACTGCTCTTTTAATTGGTTTTAATGCCTAAGTTTATATTATCAGTAACAGGTGCCTATATGGAGGCTAATCTTCTCTATAAACCACTAAAACATACCATAGAGTGGGATTTAACTTGGCATTCTGAATAACATTATGAGAAGTTCACTGTACAAAAGAGACCATCACAAGTAAGTCAGTGTTTAAGGAATTTTTATTAAACCAAGAATTTTATAATCCAAATTATGTTTCTTTTGCTCAGCTATCAATTCCCACTGTCAACTAAAACAGTGGTGATATTCTGAGCTTTTACACAGTAAAGAATTACAAAATTAAAGAAAGGAATGCTTTAAATTTTTGTACTGTGCTGAAAATTCTTTTCCCCGGGTTTATAAAACATTAATTTGTATTTTTTATTTTACTATTTTTTTAAAAATTTTAAATCCATAAGTAATCTAGGACTAGCATTTGTTTTGCTAGCCCCGGCGTTGCTCTGTACGTAAGCTTCAAAGTTTCCTTTCCTTTTTTTATTTCTTTTATATTTTGCAATGTTTTTCTCAATATTTAATAGTTTTTCCATGTTTAGATTTTTTTTTCTTCGGTGAAGCGAAGTTCTAGATTGTAGTCCCGGATCTTTCTGCAAACAAAAACAACGCTGTTAGGTTCTAAAATTAAAGCAGCATCTTATGTTTCCAGATATGCTTTCTGCAGCTGTGTGCCAGGCAGCATCCTGGGCTTTCATGGAATCGATCATACCACAGGTCTTTGCAAGCAGAGTATCAGGAAGTAAAGTATGCAAAGTCTGTGATCCTTGGTAAGACAAAACTGACTCTAGAACTGTACTTCAAACGTCACAGCTTCAGACAGTGCCTACGCACAATGTTTGTTACTGTGACTAACTTGACTGCAGGTCACCTCTACTCTTAAGGCCAGCAGACTGAGGCTCATTGGATAACTCCCCTAGTAGTATTTTCAATTTCCAGTTACTAAAACATAATGGAGCAGGTGGAGTAGTGGTCTCAAAGTCTGGGCACTTTAGTTTAGGAGAAACAACTGATTCAGCACTTGGTATCTCCAGTGTGAAAGTGTCACTAGCAAAAAAAAAAAAAAAAGAATACGTAAAAAACATGACTCAAATTCTGCCTTTGAAAGGAAAATTGCAGAAATTAAAATATCAATAAAAAAGAAAATTCTACATGATCAAATGTTGAATTCATCTTCAAATGATAGCTACAAATGTGAATAAGTTCACAGACAGGCAAAACCTAACCAGACTGAATAGATAATAGATTCTTTTTTATCCTCAACATTTGAAGATATCGATTATTAGAAATTATTTTAAATATTGATTTATTATTATTCACATTTTCCCCTGTCAAAATTGTAAAGGTACCACCTTTTGGCTCTTTCTGCTGTGCACAACTAAGATATCAGCCCCACAGAAGGTAATAAAGACAAATCAGTATTTTAATTGACATCAAAGTTAAATTCATGCAACTGTGAGGTCAAGACAATATATAGTTTAGTTTTATAGTTTAGTTTTCAATTAATGTATAACTTTAGATTTTGGCAAGTATATACAAATTATAATGTAAATAAGCTATTTTATTTTTAAGAAACAATGGGGTTGGACTACCACTTCAAGCTTACTTCAATTCCACAAGTTCCTCTCAAACAACAGTATGAATAGTAACATTTGACAGAACTGCCCATTTTTGCACACATGCCTAGAACTAATTCCAGCTAATTATGCTGTTAAAACTAATGCTCTAGTACTAGCTAAATACACAAGACACGTCAGTAGCTTTTACTAACTGAGAGCTACAGAACTGGACAACCAGAGTGAGCACAGAAGTTTGTTTACCAAAGCTGCTACTTTCTGTGGCTGCAGATGATACAGGGCCTGGACACATGCTGCTTATAAGGCCATAGACCACAGACTATTGCCCCAGTCAACCTATGAAACTACAGCGCTCAGAAGACTTACCTATTAAACACTTGGAACCCCAGTGGGATTATTAACTGCCTTTTGAGCAGCCTCTTTAGCTTGGTGGGCTTGTAGTACGGCTACAGCTTCATCAACCTTTTGAGTAAAAAAGAAAAATTAATAAAGGGAAGCTTAGCAATTTCTATCTATTTAAGTTAATGATGCAGTGTAAATTTTACACATAACAATGCCTGCAATGTTAAAAAAACAAAAAAGGATAACATTACAGTTCCAGTCACTGCCACCCTGTGAAGGAGGATACTCTTGCCCTGAGCCACTGCTGCATTGCACTGCTGCTCCACTGTGCCAGCATAAACACTTGTTAGATCAGTGTAGATTTAACCACTGACCAAATTAGTGTAAGTCCACCTACCTTCGAACGAAGAGACTCAGGAGACTCGAGCATGTGGAGGAGTTCAGAGTTGTCAATCTCCAACAACATCCCAGTGATCTTACCCGCCAGAGTAGGGTGCATGCTTTGAATGAGAGGGAATAGACGTTCACCTAGAGAGAAAAAAAGTTAATCAGGGACAAATCTCACCTGACAAACGCAGACTAGATTTAAGGGAAAAGGAAAACAAATATCTTGTTCTACTGCTAAAACCATTTACTCAGCATTTTAAGACTGATAAAAGAGTACTTTGACTGTCCTTCTGCATAGAGAAAGGCATGGTATACATACCTAACATCTGCTTTTGTTCTTGTGGAGGGGCAGAAGCCAACATGGAAGCAGTCAAGGGTTCCTGACCTTGCACATGGACAGCAGGCTGCAAATTAATTTGACACCATTTGAAAATTAAATTCTAGTTCATAGTTAGGTACAGCTTCAAATATCCAACAACTCAGCATAAACAAGCCCTACACTGTCAGAAGCATGGAAGAAATTACAACTAAGTCAATTTAATCAAATAGTACTGGTTAGAGCTGAGTGATGCTGAAGATTATCAATCACTCCATTGAGGAGTGAACACAGGAATTTAGGCTAAGGTATCAAGCAACTAGAAAATATGAAGTAACACGGGATCACACCCTTTCCCAGGTGAACTTGAAATATACTTAATCACCAACGCTTTTACTCTGCTGCCACAATGCAGAACCTGAATTCTAGAATGACAACTCTTAATTACAAGTGCCTCCCTCCCCTCCACCTTCCTCTGCAAAAAACATCAGTAAAAGCACAGAGCAGTTCCTAAAATTCCATACCTGCTGCATAGCAACCTGTGGCTGTGTGTTAAGATGCTGCTGAGGATTGCGGACACCTGCAGCGTATTTGTACTGTGGTACTGTGCGTACAGCAGGAGTAGCTGCAGTAGCTGCTGCTGCAGGACGTGGACCCATTGTTTGTGTTGATGTATTAGCTGAAAAAAGAGTAACAATTCTGTATGTAAATAATTATTATTATTTTAATTTAGTCTAAACTGTACAAGTTAAAAGCATAACAAGCCAACTCGAACTGAATACCTAGTTTAGGTATTGTATTATAGATTCATCTCAGTGGTATTGTCAACTGTTGTACCAGCAGTCATATCTGAAACTTCAAAGCTCAAAATTTACTGGATGCTACTTTCACTTCAGTCATGAATTGCTTTTCACACATGCAACTGAAAAAAGATCTGTAAGAAAACACCCACTTTGGTTGAGTATTAATTTAATTTCATTCTAACCTAAAGGATACTTGATTTCCTGAGCACATTATGTCAGTCATTCTAAAAAAAAAAAAAACACAAACCTTTCAGCAAGCAAATAGCTGTCTAATACATTCTGAGAAAATTATGCCTCCAGAGAGGTTGCAGACTCCCCATCCCTGGAAGTGTTCAAGACCAAGCTGCATGGGGCTTCAATTATCTTGGTCTAGTGGAAAGTGTCCCTGCCCATGGTAGGGGGGTTGGAACTAGATGATGATTAAGGTCCCTTCCAATCCAAACCACTCTATGATTAAAATCAATTCTGGTTCATTCATTCATGTTCAGATTTTGCATATATGATACTGACTCACAGTATTCTATGGCAAAATAATAAGAGCTAAAATTCTATCATCTCAGTAATTCTACATGTGACCTATTAAAATTGCCACAATGATGTTTAGAAATTACAGAAGCCATCATACAGTACTACTAAAGCACATATAATAAGAAAAAAATGCTTCATCCTAAAGAGGTGGGATCACAGCTAGAGTCTTTGCTGGGACAGTTTTTAAGAGTAACTACTAGAAGGTGATACTAGCTTTTTCATTTAGTAAGAGCTGGAAAAGGAGGGAAGTGTTACCACATGTGATATTGAACTTAAGAATGCTTTTGAGAGATCATCCCGATCCAGCAAAATTAAAAGAGAAGTTTAATACTTAAAGTTTGCATAAATCAAACTCACCAACACGCTGTGTTGACATGACTCGTGGAACTTGTGAAGAAGCTGGTCTCATGGTACTGAACGGTGGTCTGGGTGCTGCTGGGCGGATAGCACCAGGCATGTTTTGGAATGCTACAGTTTAGAAAATATATTTGTTACACGCTGAAAAACTGAATGGCGACAGTATGACAAAGAAAAGACTAATACATGAAAATATACTTAAAAGTGCAAAGGTAAACACTATGGAGCTTACTGCAATCACTAGAAAGAAGTAAAGAAGTGACTTACGATGAGGTCTGGCACCCTGAGCAGTCCAGCGAGGACTAGGTCTAGCAAGTTGAGCGAGCTGATTAGTAGGATAGTATGCAGCACGGTTCTGAGTCTGCCAAATATAAAAAACATTGCATAACTCTGTGGTCTGTGAAGGGCACATTGAACAGTCGTCACCCTTCTGCTATGAGATTAGACTGCTGAAATTATGGACACATGCTACTAGTTTTATTTACTGTTAAATCTAAACAGATTTTATACACAGCACAAAAAATTCCGTTTCTCTACACGTACCTGTGGGATAGCTGCCATGAAGTAACCTGAAGGAGGTGCTGGCTGGTAGGGATTGATTACAGGATTAGGTACTGCTCTTACACTCGCCATTCTCTGCATGTACTGGTTTGTGAGATGAGCTTGGCGCTCCTCTTTACGCTGGGCTAGAGCTACATATAATGGTTTAGTAGCCACAATTCTACCATTCATTTCTGTGACTGCTTTGGTGGCTTCCTCTGGTGACGAAAAGCATACAAATCCAAATCCTTTGCTGCGGCCACCTTCCATCATGACCTGTGAGTACAAAATTTAGTTTTAAAACTAAACATCCTGTGGCATACCTACTCAACTTATATGAGTTTCTCATTTCAGCTTATTAGAAGTGAGATCACAGGTTTGTTTTACTGAATTATTTACAGAAAGGAGTATTATCGCTTAATTAATAGGTAGCTGTTAACTAAATATAGATGAAAATTTCAGTGAAATAATAATGAGCATACTATTGCACTGAAAAGATAATTTCTTACATTAATATCAGTACAAGAAAGGATGATCATACGGTTTTTAATCTGAGATGTACAATAATCAAGAAAGCAGATGCCCACGTACATAGTGGGTCACATCTGTTAGTCAATGTAATAATTTTCTCTGGTGAAGGATCATTGTTCATTTTCAGAGAACAGATGAGCACAATCTAAGAACTTTACCTTTGCACTAGTAATTGTACCAAATGGGGAAAATTCTTTTCGGAGACGCTCATCATCAATCCCATCATCAAGATTTTTCACATAAAGGTTTACACCCTGAGAAAACAGGCAAGTTATTTTTGAAAGCAAGTGTTCTGTGTAAGTCTCAAAATACCACACAATAAAGTTAGTTCTCTTGAATTAAAACTGAACCTGGTATCTGGTGATCCTGTCCTGCTTCATTTGTTCAAACTTGCGCTTCAGCTCCGTCTGTCTTTCCACCTTTTTCTGAGCCCGGCCAACATAAATTTGTTTCCCATTGAGCTCTTTCCCATTCATCTCATCTACAGCCTTCATTAAAAAACAACACATTAGCAATGCTTTGTACTCCAGTGTTTTTCAGAAATACAAAAAAATGCAATTCAAATATAAAAAGTTAAATACAGATTCCAGAAAAAGAGCCAATCTATCTTGAAATATCCCAAAATGGAACAAAATACCCTAAGATTTCCCTGCTTAAGGTAACATGGAAATTGCTTTCCGATTATACTTCTGTCCTGTTAAAGACAAGTCACAAGGATGCAAAACACTTTTTTATATGAAGTTGGAAGAAAAAACACCCAAGTCACACAAGAAAAACTACTTCTCCAACCTTATCTTGCTAAAGGCAGAGAAAAGTAGGCAAATTAAACTGAAAATCTCTAATTCACTTAGTTCTGTTTTTAAATACTTTTAAATACATCTGAAACTGTAATATCTATCAGATTGTCTATACTATATGTTAAGCTACAGATGGTATATATGGTTTTTTCTTAAAATTTTTAGTCTTTCATTAAGGAAATATTTTTACAGAGATATTAGAATTTTGTTATGTAAAACCCCCAACATGTGATTTTAAGTACTCTAAGAGAAACAATTCATCAATCAATGTAAGACTGAAATGTGTATATATAAGACAGGATTTATTCTAATCTCTCACTTGTACACATGCAGTACTGACAAATCACCAAAATGCCTTTTGAAAAGCAAACTTTGTCGCCATTTGCTCTGTGCTGTTTCTCTCCTGATGCTATGTCCTTACTGCCACAGTCAACTGACATATCAAAGCAACCAGCTGACAAAGTTATACAGCATACTGGCATGTTATAGGCAAATACATGAATAAAAAGGACCCTTCTTCCAAAGTTATCCTTCAGAGTAAAAGCAACATCACAGGGCTGTATAACTATTTTCTTACAGCTGTGCCAAACATGCCCTATAAAACTAATGGCTTTCCTGCTGACTTTGCAGAGCTGAAGTTTGAAAACACAATCCTTTCTGCTTTGCACAAACATTTTGTGCAACCAAATTGGATCCAATGATTCATCTCAGTTTTGCAGAGATGTAGTAATTTACTGTGCTTGTATGCTGCCCAGCATGACTGAGTCCAAATATCATTGAGACCTTTAAGCCCAAGTAAACCTGGCTATTAAATTATTCAAAATTCCTCATTTCTACACTAGTTCCAGCTGTCTCAGGGTATCTTGACTTAATAGGCTCCTCAGATCAACGAACATTTGCTCATAGGAAATCACTCTAAATGACAGAAACTGTGCTAAGTCATTTAGGAAGTGAACATCCACTTTTGCAGTGTCCTTGACCAATTAAAAAACCTTAACGAATTTGCAAGATTTCAAACTACTCAATGAAATATTATTTGGGTCTCCATAAGCTTACTTTTTGGGCATCTTCATGTCTTTCAAAACTAACGAAGCCAAAGCCTTTGGATTTTCCACTCTCATCAGTCATAACTTTCACACTTAGGGCAGGACCTAAAAAGAGAATGAAATACTTATGCTTCGTATGCAGAGTGTACTCTCTTCACTTTTTAAGCATCTTTTTTAGAAGTCTTAATATCTAGTTTATTTCACTTGTGTTATAAACTAATAATAGCATCTACTAAATGTCATCCATTAATATGAAATTACTAATTTGCCCTGATAATGAACTTCAGCCATTATAGCTGAAGTCTGCCCTGCTGAATTTCTTTCCTACTGTACTTTCAACCAAAATGGGATAAGAATTTCACCTCAAAGTGAATGATTTTTTTTTAATCATTAAAAATGACAACATTTAAAAAGTGTTAGTGCTTTCATCCTTTGAAACAGGTACTGAAAGCCAGAGAGGAGGCCTTGCAATTGGGCATGTGCTTTACCATCCCCGTTCAGTATTTCCAAACCTTTGAAAACCTGCAGTTCACAGCCCCAATTGGGAGCTGCCAATTTAGCTGTGGTATCAGCTAAACTCACTACTGTTTCAACCACAGATACTTCAGTAGCAGAAAGGAATTTCCTGTAAATGTTGCTTAGGGCTGCTACACGATATCTCTTATACAAGGCTTTCTCTTGCTTTACATCATATCCATTGGAGAACACCAAAAGCATGGAGGAAAAAAACCCCCAAAATAAAGCTGAGATTGAAAACAATATGTGAAAAATCTGTAACTGCATTAAGGGGTTTGCCATTTCCTGCTTCAGTAGTGACACATCATATACATTACTAGATCATGGTCATATGTCTGCCATAACTTTGTCCTGTGCATAACCAAGGATCAAGGCTGAATCATATAGCTTGGCACTGGAATAGCTCCTTATAATTTTGTATTAGGTCAACCATCACAATGTGACTGAATAACAGAGGTAAGTCTGCAGGTCAACGAAAGTAATAGTAAACTCATTTGTAACTCTTCTTGTGCATTCATAACATCAATCTGTATTAAACCAGAAAGCACTCCCATTTGCAACTTCCAAAAAATTGCAGAACCCATTCAAGACTGTTTACAGACACACTGTTTTCAGATTATTTCAAGCAATTCCAACAGCAGGATTATATACGCTGTTCTGCCTATTTAAAATTTGGATATTACTGTACCTTTGAATCCGAAATGGAATTAAGTACCCTTTATTACTATTTTAAATAAACATCAGACGGCCAGCTGATTCCTTGTATTGCAAAGCACTGTACAGATAAGATACAAGAAGTAAGCTGAAGTTCACTTGTGTTTATAAAAACTTTAAGACATTACCAAACTTGCCAAAGAGTTCCTTAAGTCTCTCATCATCCATGTCTTCTCCAAAATTTTTGATGTAAACATTGGTGAATTCTTTTGCTCTAGCTCCAAGCTCTGCCTCACGTTCCTTGCGTGATTTAAACCTTCCAACAAATCTAGTTGCAGAAAGAACATGATAATATAGATTCAAGCAAGTTCGTCAAGGTTTAAAAATTTACTTTAATCCTTTGGCATAATATTTTTCATAATCAGTCTTGTTCACTACAGGTATGAAATTCTTTAGATAAAACATTTACAATAAAACTCTATCAGAAAAACAACTGCACTATCCTTTGCTACATCAGCATGTTTATCACAGTTACTATGCAAGAAAATGCTTTCAAGCCATTGGCGAGATTGTTCACTCTTACAAAAACAGCCTTTGACAACAGGAGCTGGACAATGGAAAGAGTACTAAGTAAAGAGGCTAAACAGAAATTCTAGATATCAGCATAATCCCTCTGCCATACTAAAAACTTGGCAGCCTTAAAGCAGTTACTGCTCCCTGATCCAGTTATTAGGGAAGGGATATTTAACTAACCTCCTGCACTCCCTCACACACCTTCCCAGCCTATATCAAAGACTTTTTAATAGGCATAGTGAAATAAAATAGTTCAACTTGCTCTTTAGTCACATTCCATTGCAAATTGGCTGGGAACAACAAAGGTCAGTTCATACTATCAGAGAAAGAACAGAACCCGAACACAACATTCTGCTGCCCAAGGACCTGCTCTGGCACAGACTGTACATGGTTGACACTGATTTCCAACTGTAGCAGACTTTTGCTTTCAAATTCTATTGTATTGTCTAACTTTATAGTTTCAAATTTGGCAAATGCATTCAAGTAGCAAACAGTAACTCAAAGATTTTAAACTTTGACAACTTCACCCAATTTATCACAATCAAGAAGAGTAAGAACAATAGTATTTTCAGCAGATTTTGATAGTGAGTGAAGTGTTTTGACTTCTAAAAGCCTAACCTGAATAGAAATTCAAAGCAAAATTAACTCTCATTATGTATTTTACCCATATGCTTTTGTAACTACATGCTGACCGTTTTTTACTAATTTAAAGTTGTATAAAGATGGACACTGAACAGAAAAGAAAAGCTCCATAGTAAGTCAGTCAAGACCAGAACAAGCACGAAAACTAGTTTAAAAATATGTGTTCTCCCTATATCTGGTTTGATCCATCCACCTCTATGTGTAAAAATAATCCATGATGGTAACTGATACCAATTTCTGTTATCTTTTTTCCAAACACTCTCACATATTTAGAGAGTTGTTCTTTTGCAACTCTACCAAATACCATAACGATTGCTTAGGAATAGCTGTGAGGCACACTCATTCCCCCCCCCCAGCTTAAATATCACTAACCAAGTAGCCAAATAACTATTTTCCTACAGTGTATAACAGTGATGATGTTTAAAACATTATACTTCTCTCAGTTTTATTTTCTGCACCCTAGCTATGCCTATTAACAGACATTCATATAAAAACATTAATGTCAACTGACCACTCTTCAGTGCTAAGTAACTGTAACTCTAAGTTTAAGTTTCATCCAAAAAATGGATAACACACCTATCTCACTACTCTTATAAAGGAAGTATTATTCAGGATACCCAATGGATTGTATTTTATCTCAGACCAGTAATATCAAAAAACCACAGAATTTCCCGAATCCTCTCCTTACAATACTGGCCTGTAAGACAATTAAGACAAAGGTTTCTTTCTCTAGGGTCCATTATTTGCCTTTTTCAACTTAAGTCTGCACTTACAGTATGGAGGTGATCCAATTCATAGAATCCCTAGCACTAAAACTCTAAATCTTCTTAAAATTAGAAACTTTTAAACAACCTGCCTTTCTTAGGTAAGCTTTTAAATCTCTGCCTCCTGTAAAATGAATTTCAGTTTGTTGATCCCCAACTATGTATTTATGTACTTACACTTTGCGGTCATTAAGCAGCATACCATTCATTTTTTCAATAGCTCTTTCTGCAGCTTCTTGTGTCTCAAAATGTACAAATCCATAACCCTTGGATCCATTTTCATCACATACCACCTATTAATGAAAAACCTCGTTGTAATACCCATGCAACGTTTCCAGCGTAAAACAAGGAGTCTGTGTGTCAAACCAATTTATTTTCCACTAACCTTACAAGATAGGATGTTCCCAAAAGCAGAAAATGTGTCATACAAAGCTTTGTTATCAATTGATTTGTCCAAGTTTTTGATGAAGATGTTTCCTACACCGCTTTTGCGTAGAGATGGGTCGCGCTGAGACCACATGATGCGCACTGGTTTGCCTTTTATGACATCAAAGTTCATGGTATCCAAAGCTCGTTCAGCTGGAAAAACATTACGGAATTAGTAGAAAACACTAAAGTTACCTTAATAAGCACACGAATACCATTTGGAGTACAAGTCTTAATAATATTTTTACTATTTCAAGTTCAGAACCACCACCAAGATGCAAACCCAAACCTCCAATGTAAATAGACCCCTCTCTGCTGTATGCCGGTAAAAACTGGCAAAAACTCCTCAGCAAAAGCTGCACTTAGGAAGGAGCACAAGTCAGTTGAGCAAGATGTAGAAACCCCAGTAGCCTACAGGACTGGAGCCCACTATGAAAAGATGGTACAGTGAAAACGCATGGAGTGGTGGCAATTACAAAAGTTTAAACATTTGTGAAAATCATCTCAACCAAGCCCATATCTTGTAGATGTATATTGTGTCAACAAAAACGCTTTTAGAGGTACAACTTGTGCCTATATGAGGCCTTTTGCAAACATTAACATAAGAACTCCTACATCACCAATACTTCTAAATTGACAAAATTTCTTTGCACTAGGTGGATGTTGAAGCCTGGTTCAGGCAGCTGTTCCACACAACTCTTTCCTTAGTGACCAAAAATCTGTGATGGAATTCCAGGTAAGAGACAGATCAAAGAGATTCAAAACTAGAACTTAATTTCGAAAATCTGAAATTATGTAAATATTAATTAAAAGCTCACGATGAAATACTTATGAACTCAGTTAAATAGGAAGCATTAAAATAGCAAAACAAAGTAACATAAACCAGGTTTTGTTACTCCAACAGAGCAGTTTTTCCAGCAGAACTCTGTAACTAACTTTCCAAATCCTTCATTTAAAATCTCACTATATTTAGATGGGGAAGTATTGAGACTTGTTCAGTTTTCACAGTTCCCTTCAAAGCAACAAGATATGTCTGTCATGCTTTGAGTTAACAATGTATTTAAACAAGAAAGAGCAACAGTTCTCAAGTAGGGCAGCTTCTTTTCATCATTATTCCTGTATGTCTGGAAGAACACTGAGAAAAGTCCCAGGCAATACCTGAATTCACACCCATTGGTACTAACTCACTTCATTGTAATTTGCATATATCAGAACAATATGATGCTAGCAAGACTGAAATCAGCTTCATGTTAGTTTAAAAACAGACCCATGGCAGCTAACTACATGCTGTAGTTAGCAATACTTTACTTGAGAGGACCAAGGGCCAATCACATTGTACAAATCCTTGTTTAATGTTTTTGTTCTTTAAGTGCTGCTTTTATCTTTAGCCGTGTTGTTGCCTATCATGCCAAAGAAAATTTGCAATGAACTACTGGTTCAGCTGATACACCAGGTTTTACACCCTTTCTCGTCACGTTTTCAGATTACAGTGAATTTGGAGATTATACTCTCTGAAGGACGTCTGTACATGTTAAAGAGACAGACATCTAACATTTTCATGGGGAAAAAAAATTACTGGTACTATTACCACATTCACATGACAATACCCACAAAAATTACATGCATTGTCAGTTTTCTAAACAAGTTAATAAAGCTTTCAAAAACATTAATATAAATTAAGCAGAAAAGACAACCTAGATACTGATAATAAGAAACAAAAATCTCCGGAAAGCTTTAAATTTAGGCAGGGGAGGTGGGAGGAGATGAAAAAAAAAGGAAAAAAAGAACTGTGGATATCAGACCGGCCATAGTAGAAACATATAAGACTTCACTATTGCCCTAGAAGTCATTAGAATTATTACTGACAGTACTAACAAAAGTGCCAGCAACAAACAGTTCATTATTTCCAGAAGTAGTAACCGGGTTTCCTTTACTAGAAAACGGGCTTTTCTAATTCACACTAATTGCTTCTAGAACAATCCTGACTGTCCTGAAAAATGTGTGTTCCTAGACACATTTCCCAATCATCTGACTCAAAGTGGGTCCATATTAGCCTTTGCAAACATTACCACTCTTGACTAATAGCGAGCCTGTGTCTTAGAACAGTGAATTTCTCCACAAGGACAGCCTGGAAACTCTCAACAGCTCTCCTCATCTCTCCTATGGAACAAAATTACAAGAAATTTAAATATTTCTGCTTAACCAACACCACATTGTCATTCCACAGCAGATTTTTAAAACATTACTAGAACCCATCTGCAACTAGGTACAAATAACTCATTAAAATTCACAACTAGTGAAACTGGCTCACTTTCATCACATTTCAGCCATAAAAGGCTGTGCTGGCTGCAGGAGACAGCTCCATTCAGCAGCGAACTTGTTACCAACGGACACACCTACCCGGGCTGTACTTCTGCTGATTCTGCTGGAGCTCTGAATGACTCACCAGCTCCCATTTTAGTCGTCAGCAACTGGACAGTCCACTTTAACAATTTCAAAATCACATAGAATATATCCTTAATGCTAACCCACGCTAAAGGCAAATAGCAATAGCTATTTGCTAAATAATTAACCTCTGGAAAAATAACCTTTCTAAAAATTCGAAGTAGTGCAGTTTCAGACTACTCAAGAATATTTCTAGTTTAGTGATTAAACAAGATTGCCTGAGTTTTACTCCAGACTCTGACTCAAATTCAGAAAAGTCACAACTATGAAACATGTGCATACCTCACAAATGTGTCATCAGGTCTAATTAGTTTTTGGAAGAGCTTTGAGATCCCTAGTTTACAGACAGCTGGTAATGCCAAGCACACCTTCAAAAACATTTTTCAAAACCCAACCTAGTTGTTACTGGCTGTTTAATAGGCATAGCCTGAGATGTAGCTAAAAATTTGGCTAAACCAAGAAAAGGTAGTTTGGAATCAAAATGAAACCCACATCACTGTAAGAATAGCCACTCACCCTCAGAGTTCCTATTTCAAGGTTTCAGTAAAGAGACAGAATGATCTGCAAGACCAGCAAATACTTTTTAGGTATTTGCCAAAACCATCCAATTCTAAAAATGTTGAAAAAAGTATAATCACACAGTGTCATTGAAGCATATTGTAAACAAGTGCTTCCAGATACATGCCAGATGCAGGTTTTATACAGATCAGAAATACTTTTAGCTGAACTGGACTAGTTATAAAAAAAATACATGTGTTTCCCAAAGTCAGAAAAATAGTTATAACATCTGGAGTAACAGCACCTTTCTAAGAGGTAAGTTCTCTCTGAATTAAGTTCTGCTCAGGTGAAAAAGTTGTATTTGTTCCCACATTTGTCAAATTACAAACCAAGTCACAAAATGTACTGGTTGCTCAACTACTGACAATGATAAAGTTGGCCCTTACAGGATTCTGTCAGTACTGAGGAGAAGCATTTGAATTACCTTCAGTCTCTGCACTGACATTATCATACCAATGTACTGACCTTTCTTTTTGAGAAACTGTACCATATGTTTTTATTGAATGAAAACAAGTATGTCAAAATAAGCACTCAAATTGTCTCACCCTAAACAATGGCTGAATAAATCAAAAGCTCTCTGAATGGAAAAAGCTGATAACAAGTGGAATATCTGCCTATTAAGATGAGGCACTAACTTTTACTACTTACATACAGATATCATCGGTACACCAAAGTCTGATCTGATAATGGTTGTATGCTAAAGCCAATTTTGAGAGCCAGTTAA